TTTCCTCACAACAACTCTGTAAGCTGGTTGGAGAGGCTGTGGGTAGTGACTGGCCCAAGGTCATCAGGGAACTTTATAGCCAAGTGGGCATTTGAACATGGATATTCCTGGTCCTCCTGTTCATGCATACATCTCTGCACCAACACAAGATGCATTAGGGTCTAAATCACGGGAAGTCAGTTCCTTCCTTCCTGGCTATCGAAACAATTTACTAAGAGAAGATGCTGACCTGAGAGTTTACCATCTCTCCTTCAGCAGTTTTTCAGAAGTGTTCAAGGAAGCTCTAGAGTTGACCAAGGATAGGGGAGCTTTGGGCCTCCAGATGTTGGATTCCAACTCCCATCAGCCCCAATGATCTGGGATGATGGGAATTGTAGTCCATGGGGATGCCTCACCACTTCTCTAGGCATACATAGAACATAGAACATAGAACATAGAACATCTCGCCTCTTGGGCTAAGACTGAATTATCCACAAAGTTGTTCCATTTCTGATATTATAGTAATATTTCTGTTATTTCAGTAAAGGGTTGTAACAGCAATGATGTTTGGTCCAAGTCCAGAGAAGGAGCTTCATTTCGAAACAGGTGCTCCTTCCTCTGCAACACATTATCAATAGTCTTGTGCAAAAACTGTAGCTAGCCAGTAACATAAAAAAACAGCCACATCAGCCATTTAGTTCTAAATAGAAATATTAGCAGGTCCTTGCAAACAATGGGATATGCATCTATTTAAATAAACTCAGGTGAAATCTCCTTCCAGTTAATTACATTTATCCTTTATGTCTTATGTTCCTACTTACCTACAGATTGCTCAGTAAATAATTTATGTTGAAAAGATAGATTTATATTTTCATGCCAGAGTGGATTTTCAGTATAAGTCTTGGAGAGAGGGGGAGAGATACATATAGTATCAGTAACCAGCATACAGCAGAACTCAACACACCAAAGGTTGAAAGTGAACTTTAGTCCTCCAGTGATCACCCTCAAGTACTTAGTCTTCATAAATTTTCCCCATTTATAGAGTGTTTTTGATGGCAGACAATTCTTTGCTGAAAGTTAAGTGCTCTTTTATATGAACATATAAAGCAGGCTTTGGTTTGAATGAGTACATTATTTTGACAAATGTTTATTGGAAAGCCAATTACCGCTTCATAAATCAGGACTCTCTGTGGCACATCAGGCAAGCTTGCCAGTGCCACCAGATGCCGCAGCTGAGACTAGCAGAGTAATTAAAATAATTTGGTGGGATCCTGCCCCCTCATCCACAGCACTGACAGTAGTCAAAACAGGAAGAAATTGTTTATTATCTTTCATTTAACTTATTAAAATACTTGTTGCAAGATGTCATGGCCATACTGGGGGGTGGGGGTGGATGTGGCGGGTAACATTTGCTTTCAATTTGCAGTTAGATTAAAATGACAAGGTCAAGCACAATCCACAGTCTGACTGGCAGCTGGATTTTAAGGGCTGCGCAGAATAGAAAGCGGAAGTGTGCGTGAGCATCTGTAACAGATTGAAATCCAAAGACGCCTTTACCATTTTATTTTCGAGGTGGCCATTTTTAATTTGAAATATCACCCTTAATGATATGCACATTTACATGTTTCTGCCTGACCTCAGATACACTGGTACCGATTTAGACACATTCAGTTGACACGAGGCTTAAGCACATCTGAGTCATTCGAGTTTTATAGCCTTAGGGTTTATTCTAGGCAATGTTTACAGGGCACGCTATCATTACATTTTGCTGTAATTCTGTAGTTACTCTTTCCTGTTTCTTACAAAGAAGCCCTCATGTGGTGAAATCAAGATATAACATGACGGAAGGACTGTCCTGCAAGATGGGCGGAGAGAGAGACTGAAATCATGCATGCATTTTTAAGTACTTTAATCAACGTTCAGGAATCTCCACTGCAACAGTTAATGAGTGTTGCTACTATTCCCACTTCTCCATGAAACTGATTCGGTAAAAAGATTGTCATTGTCACAGCTGCTGGTTGTACCTGAGCTGCTGACGTGTTAAAGAAGAAAACAATTGCAGCAGTGACTTTCTCTTACCTTGTAAGCTTCATGGAAGAACAAAGAGTGAAGAGAACGGTCATACTGTAGAAGGCCAGATTTGTAGAAAAGGAAGAGTAATTTGATAAGGAGGGCATGCCAGTCAATAACAACACTTGCAAACAGGGAGATGGTGTTATAGGAAAAGCTGCAGGAAAATGGTGAGTGGAAGATAAAAAATGTGCTTCGGACAGACCACAGCTGTTCACAGGTAACAGAAAGTGCAAGAAGGTTATGATGCAACTCTACCTTTCAATGCCACTATTAATGGATTAAAAAGCCTGATACAAGACTAATTTGAACTGCATTGTTATTTTTCACATAAACACAAGAATAGGAGAGAGGTTCAATAGTGCATTATGCAGCATGTGCAAAAAAGGATAGCCATATCTTTATAAATGTTGTGCTGGGGCCAGTTCACTCCATAACTTCCATTCTCTTTGAAATAAGGCCAGCAAATACGGTGCCTTCTATATGTTGTCGGATCCTGACCTTTGCCAAGTTGGCTGGGCCTGCTGGAAGGTGCAGTACAACATCTGGAGGACACAAAGTGGGCTGCTCCTCCTCTAAAACCTACCACCAGCTATTGTTAGATGCCAATAGTATTACTGAGGGCATTTCCACACAAAGCACTTTGCAGACAATTGGCACCTGAAGCAGAAAACTAATCATCCACTAACCACAAGCTCATGGCAGCAGCAGTCCCTGGCTGCATAGGCAGCAAACATTTTAAGCACGACTTACCACAAAGAATCCTAGCTTACCCCTCACAGAGCTACAATTCCCTGCACCGTTAACAAACTACACTTCCTAGGATTATTTGGAGAAGTTATACAGTTTAAGGTATGCAGACTTAGTCCCTGCCTAGCAGAAACAGCATAGAGACAGAGCTACTCTTGTAGAACAACAGTTATGGTAGCTCTTAATCCTTCCAACAAGAAGTACCTCCTTAAGAGATACTTCCTGATTCTGTGGTTCTGTCATGAATCAAAACAATAAGTGGAACAGCCCTTTGGATTTTGCCCTTACAAAGAGCTTCCTGGTCAAGCTGTATAAAGCATTCCCCCTTTTTTGTATAACATACCGTTCATAGCACCTGTGGCTTTTTCTTTCCAGTGGGGTGAAAGTCAAACATCACATGTGAGCATGTGAATTCCGTTTGCTGAACTAACGTAGCCTTTCGTCAGTTTCACATGCTTATAAGATGCATATCGAAGGAATTGCAGAGAAATGTACCTTGAGTGGGACATTTCCCGGTAAAGAGTATATAGAAAGTCACCCCAAAATAACAAAACAGAAAGCCAAACCAAATACAGCACATAAAATAAAATAAAATGATATACTGTAGATACAAAGGCTCATTATACCATAATTGAAAATTGCTTTGTACACACAATAATTCCAGCCAGGAAATGCCAGCCTGCCATGAACATGACATTTCACAGAAAAGTCATGGAAGGCTCAAGCTGTTCACATATTCATAGATCAAAACTAGCATCACAAATTGTGATGTATTATAAGGGCATAAGAAACCATTGAACATCCTGGGTTACTAATGCACTGTCTAGATCATTCTGCATCAGCTGCAATCTTCAGGTGAAACACACTGTAGAAAACATTCCTGCAATCAAGTCTTGGCATTAAAAGGCATGAATGAAGTTGTCAAGACCAAACTGAAAGAAAGGTTGCATTTTCCCCTCCAGATGAAGTCACTGAAAGGATTTAGTTATAGTTCCTACCTGAATGACAAGGAGCAAAGCAAGCCTGCAAGTCTAATAAACTCGGGAGCCTTCCAAATGTATTTTATTGTTCATTCTTGATTTGGGCTCATTATGATATTGGCGTACTAGTTGTATGTGATCACACTTTCAATTCTGCCAAAGTTTCAGGGTCCTTTGTTTCCAATCAGCGCATGTCCTGCAGCTTCCTGCTGAAATCCTCTAACTTTTCATATGCCACAATTGTTCTGGGTTATCTTTCAACTGATGTTGTATTATATGCAAGAGCACTCACCCAGACAGAAATAATGTGGAAACATTGGGGAAGCATCATGTTGTTGTTGTTTAATCGTTTAGTCATGTCCGACTCTTCGTGACCCCATGGACCAGAGCACGCCAGGCACTCCTGTCTTCCACGGCCTCCTGCAGTTTGGTCAAACTCAAGCTGGTAGCTTCGAGAACACTGTCCAAACATCTCGTCCTCTGCCGCCCCCTTCTCCTTGTGCCCTCCATCTTTCCCAACATCAGGGTCTTTTCCAGGGAGTCTTCTCTTCTCATGAGGTGGCCAAAGTATTGGAGTCTCAGCTTCAGGATCTGTCCTTCCAGTGAACACTCAGGGCTGATTTCCTTCAGAATGGAGAGGTTTGATCTTCTTGCAGTCCATGGGACTCTCAAGAGTCTCCTCCAGCACCATAATTCAAAAGTATCAATTCTTCAGCAATCAGCCTTCTTTATGGTCCAGCTCTCACTTCCATACATCACTACTGGGAAAATAAAACAGGATGGCCCAGTATAAATTGCCCTCCAATGCACTATTACTGCATCAGTGACTTTTTGCACTGAGGGAATCATAGAACTGGAAGATATCCCAAGGGTAATCTAGTTCACCCCCTTGCAATTCAGGAATCTCAACTAGATCACACATATGAAATGGCCATCCAACCTATATTTAAAAACCTCCAAGGAAGGAGAGACCACCTCCTCTCGTGGGAGTCTGTTCCACTGTCAAACAGCTCTTACTGTCAGGAAATCATTCCTGATGTTTAGTCGAAATCTCCATTCTTGTAACTTGAAGCCACTGGTTCAGATCCTAGCCTCTGGAACTGGAGAAAACAAGCTTGCTCCATCCTCCATGTGGCAGCCCTTTAGATATTTGAAGATGGCTATCATATCTTATTAAATAAAAAGAAGCATAGCAGCTGCAACAGATAATTGTCATGAGATTTATTGCATCAGGAATCCCCTCATTCTACAGTTTTCTGTTCTTTCACTTCCTGGTTCATCAATCACCTCTTGTGTGTAATAAATTCCTGGTCCATCAACTACATCTTGTGTGTAAAAATTCCTAGGATGAAAATATGCATAATATGAAATAAGAAAAATAATGCCCAATATTAGGGTGATAATGACCACCATGATTACAGATAACAAATATATTTTCCCATTAAACACTGATTTGCAGGACATGCAAACATACACGATTATTGCAGTTATAAACCCCCGAGCAGTATAATAAACAATCAGAGGTATCTTGGTCTTTTCTCCCTTGACATTAAAAAAGGTAAAAATAAGAATGATTCCCACAATAGTCCTGTAGACAATTTCTGGTCCTTTAGAGGTACAAAATGTTGTGTGTTGCTTCAGGACCCAACATATACTCAAAAGCCAAAGAAACACAAGTAGAATGAGAGACGTTATACTTAGTATAGTGACCAGAGCGATGCAGAGTATCCAAGAAGTCAAAGTCAACAGTTTATAGAAAAGATATATTAATTTGGAAAATATCCCTGGAAAGTTTTTTTTCTCAGGCAGGGATTTTCGTAACGCTATCTGATAGTCCACAGTTGCACAGGAGATGCCACAGAAAGACATTGCAATGGTTACATCTAAATAAAAGGAAATAAAAGTTGTTAGCCCTGTTAGAAAAAGAAGAGTTTTTTCTATTCAATAATATTCATACAAAAATGGCACAATAGTCTGAACTAGATAGACACACAGACATACTCTTAGAAGCTATGGAAATTAAATATACAGTGGACGCTCGGGTTGCGAACGTGATCCGTGCAGGATGCACATTTGCAACCCGCAGCGTTCGCAACCCGCAGCTGCACATCTGCACACGCACGGGTTGCGATTTGGCACTTCTGTGCATGCGCAACTGCTGAAACCCAGAAGTAACCTGTTCCAGTACTTCCAGGTTTCGGCGGTCCATAACCTGAAAAAACGCAACCTGAAGCATCTGTAACCCAAGGTATGACTGTACTAACTACTGGGAAGCTTTCGGTCAAATAACTGGCTGGTGGTGAATTCATATGAATTCAGCCTGTCCCATCCCATAACTTGTTTTCCTTCACTACCCTACAAAAGCTGCCAGATCCCAGAGGAAAGATGTCAACAGAAATCACAAGTACGATGCAGGGCTTTTTTTCATCCAGAACTCACCTGAACTCAGTTCCGGCACCTCTCAGGTGGGCACCTTTGCCATTATAAGAGAACAAGGGAGGCATTCATGGAGAGTTCCGGCACCTCCTTTTCTAGAAAAATAACACTGAGTGGGAGAATATCTCTTCTATGCAGTTCACGAAGGTGCAGCTGACCTGGCAGGTTCTCAGCAGTAGACAAAATGGCCCCTTGGCTCTCTACCCACTGTCCCAACTACTCTGCCTGATTATTCCCTCCCTAATGAATGCACACAGCCACTTTGGCCTCCAGGCTCTTCATGAGGTTTTACAAAGTCCTCCTTTTTCCGTAGCTCCTTCTTTGAGAGCATCAGAAGATCACTGCTGGATCAGACCAAAGGCCTATCTCAGGAGGCATTCTTGCCTAGTGGGCAACCTTCCAGGGGCCACATGACAACACTAGGTGGCACAATGGGTGTGACTGTTAACTTTGTGCAATAGGTTAGAAGTCCATCCACCAAAGGGCCAAGCGGGATGCATATCATCTATGCACCCATCTTTCTATCCAGGCAAGCAGGAGCCTTTATTATAGTCCAAAGAAACATCCTAGACAGTCAAAAAATTAGAAAATAAAGAATGGGAGGATGGTTTGAGGGAGGGCCAGTGATTGGTATGGCCTGGGAAAGGTGTAAATAAGAGAGTACAGTGGTTGCTCGGGTTGCGAACTTGATCTATGCGGGATGCACGTTCGCAGCCTGCAGCATTCGCAACCCGCAGTGGCGCATCTGCACACACGCAGGTTGCGATTTGGCGCTTCTGCACATGCACAAACCACAATTTAGCCCTTCTGTGCATGCGCGACCATTCTGGTATTTCCGGGTTTCGGCAGGTCCATAACCCGAAAAAACGCAACCTGAAGCGTCTGTAACCCAAAGTATGACTGTACTGAGGTATGAAAGATTTTCTACTATAATGGGTGGTGGAGGAAGGGAAAGAGAGAGGGAGAGGTACAAGGGAAGACAAGAAACAAAGTGGCTAAAGAAAGTAGAGCCGGGGGCAATGGACTAAGAAGCAGAAAAGAGAGGAAGCAGTGAGTGATCTAGAGGGGAAATGGAAGAAATATGGAGACATAGATTTAAAGACACTCCAACCATGGAGTTGGGTGAATGGGCAACAGCATGGCAAACATTATTTAATGCGAGTCTAAAGTAATGCACATTGAGACAAAAAACAATAATCAAATGCCACATAAACATCAGTGAGGAATGAACTGGTGGTGACTGATCTCTGTCTTAAGGCACAGAAGGTGCATTTCATATGTACTGAAGCAGTTCTCTGAGCACTTTAAATGTTTGTGAACATTCTGCGCCATCACATGTTCCATACACTGTTAGGAAATGGCTTCCATCCCCACAAGGAGACTTACACTGACTGGGGGTAGAACTGTCAGATGTCATCAGGATGTAGATCTGAAGAATGAGCTGGGGCGTGCTCTCCAGAAATGCCCTAAATAGTCTGAGCATACTTATATCAGTCATTGCACAAATGGCGCTCTTGTGAATGGGGCTGGTGCAACCATCAATCAATCCATCTTCCGAGTTGTTCGTTTTAAATGCTGCCTGGTAGCCACATTTCAGTGCAGCCCAGTACCTGCAATGGAGAAAGGCACAGTTGGGCATTTTGTAAGATTTCGGGCCAAAGTAAACATGATGCAACAGGCATGGTTAACAATCTCATGGAGTTTGTTTCTTCAAATGAAAAGCAGCAACGGAGGACCGGAAAGGGAGAGGGTTGCTTAAGTCTGTCTCTTCCAGCCATTCTTCTGCTCCCCTTTGAATTTCACAGTGGGAGCGTGAAACACATCATGCCATGAGCACAATTGGCTTATCATCCCTTTCCTTCACATTCAGACCCATTCACACAAAGGGAGTGCAAGAAACTCAACCTCTAAGAAGCATCTACTGTATTTTTCGCTCTATAACACGCACCAGACCATAAGACGCACCTAGTTTTTGGAGGAGGAAAACAAGAAAAAAAGTATTCTGAATCCCAGAAGCCAGAAGAGCAAGAGGGATCGCTGCACAGTGAAAGCAGCAATCCCTCTTGCTGTTCTGGCTTCTAGGATAGCTGCGCAGCCTGCATTCGCTCCATAAGACGCACACACATTTCCCCTTACTTTTTAGGAGGGGAAAAGTGCGTCTTCTAGAGCGAAAAATCCAGTAAATGAAACACAAAATTAGCGGGGAAATTCTGAAATTTTAAAGGAAAGAGAATGTTGGCATGGTGACAGATCCCATAGAAACTATTGCTCCCACTTCCCTCTTTCCATTTTATTTTCCCTCTTTTTTCAGAGTCTCCCCCCCCAACTTAAATCAAAATATGGGAGAATGTGGCCCCATCTGCACTATACATTTAAAGCAGTATCGTATCACTTTAAATGGCCATGGCTTCGCCCCAAAGAATCCTGGGAACTGTAGTTTGTTAAAGGTGGTGAGAATCATAGAAGTGTAGGGCTGGAAGGGACCCTGAGGGTCACATAATCCAACCCCCTGCAATGCAGGAAATGCAAGGTAACCCAACGCAATGTGAAACCATACCGGACCCTGCTTAGCTTTTGCAAATGGGCTAGCTGCTTTACCAGAGTTCTTGGGGAATAAGGATTGGTTGTAAAACCACTCTGAGAATTATAGCTCTGGGAGGAGAACAGGAGTCTCAGCACCTTGAACAAACTACAGTTCCTAGGATTCCTTGGAGAAAGTCATGACTGTTTAGAGTGGTATAATACTGCTTTCAATATATAATGCAGATAGGGCCCGTGATGCACATGCTAAGCTTTTCTCTGCTGGTGGCAACTTTATTTCCTAGAACAAGAGCGCCATCCTAGATAGGATAAATGACTTGCTGAGGACTTTTCAGAGCTCTATAAAAAGCTGTGTGTCTCCCCTCCCCTGTGGAAACAAACCCTTATCTGTTTATTTAAAATTATTGCCTGCTTTCCATTTTAAAGAAAAAATCTAATGTAGCTTGTAATAATATTAAAGTAACGGTATTTGGGAGTTTAAAACTTATATCAGAAAATTTTATATTCAGTCCCTGCTTCTACAATCCTATTGGTAACAGCACATTCCACCTGTGCTTTTCTTTTATATATATAGTAAAGCCACTTTTATATATATAGTAAAGCCTTGAATTCCTGTGCTATCCTTACAAGGAATGCCAAAGGCGGCTTAAGTCTTCAATTTGCTTACCTGAAAGTAAACTCCATTGAATTCAACGGGACCTACTTTTGAGCAGGCATGTTTGTTGGTTGGTTGGTTGGTTGGTTGGTTTTAAGAACCCTATTTATATACCACAATTCATAAAATGGATATCAGAGCTATTTACAACAGTGATGCATAAATCCACATAAAAATTTACAATCAGAGATCAGCTAACTATTATGGAAAGATGTATTCTTAACTGCTTGCAGAAGCCTGGAGGAACTGAAATGTTTTCGGTAGACATTTGAAGGTTGTAACAGAAGGCACCTGCTGCTCAGTATAAATAGACATGCAAATTCTATTGTAATTCTTAGGGCACATGAATTTCTTGTGGTGACATGCATTTCATTGGTAGACAGTGGAAAATGAGGGGCTAATGCACGCTAATGTTTACTACTGCATTATATCTCAACTCCCACAGCCGTACACTGAATAATGTGTCCTTAAGGCTATGAAGTAATTTCCTATAAAATAAAACATAGATGGAAAACACACTAAACATTTCAGGGGGGGATTAATTCATTGCCTCATGAAGAACGTTCCCTTCTCAAAATATTTCTATTTTCTTTTGGGAGATGCAATTTTTATTCCCACTATCAAATCACAGCATACATCCTCTGGCAAGGAACACGTACATCACTGAAGAAAAGATGTTCGGCATTTGCCAAACTCAGAGAAACACTCTTGGGTGGAATCCATACACATACAGTGGTATCTCAGGTTAAGAACTTAATTCGTACCGGAGGTCCGTTCTTAACCTGAAACTGTTCTTAATCTGAGGTACCACTTTAGCTAATGGGGCCTCCCTCTGCCACCACACCGCCACCGCGAGATTTCTGTTCTCATCATGAAGCAAAGTTCTTAACCCGAGGTACTATTTCTGGGTTAGCAGAGTCTGTAACCAGAAGCGTCTGTAACCTAAAGCGTCTGTCACCCAAGATACCACTGTATTTTAAAAAAAGGTATGAAAATGCTTTTTTTTTAGTGTTTTTTTAAAATAAAATGAATTTTCCATAAGGCTCACCATCACCATCCAGTGTCACATTGTATATTGCACTTCAAACATTTTATTTGCAGCTATATAGCTTGGTTCTTGGTTTCCGCAAGAATTAGCGGTACGTTAACCCAATACCCAAGTTGCTGATTTGGACACTTGTTTTCGAAACAGAGGTGTCTTCTCATTTGAGCACAAGGCACATTTTTGAGCAGATGCAAAGGTGTATTTGCTCTGCATCTCAAATGTTTCACAAAGAAGCAACTGCAAGCAGAGATAAAAGGAAGATAGAAAGCCCCTCTTAAAACGTATTTTAACTAACCTCATTTTCTGCTGTTTCTCAAAATGACAGGGCACTTACTCGCTCCTCTTCAGTTTGTTGTTTTAAAAAGCTCTGCTTACAAGAACATATCCCAAGAAGTACCGATTGCCCCTGTGGGAACTTCTGAATAACGTTTTGAGGTTCACATGCTGGCAGTTTTGTGGCAAGCTCCAATGTACCTTGCAGAAATCTTGGGTAAATTTATACATAAATATCTTCCTACAGAACAGCAATGGTGGCCCTCCATACCTGTGACTGACTTCACAATGCTTTAGCTGAACACTGAAAACAACTTTCACCCCTTAAAATAGATTTTGGGGTATCAGAATGTCCTCATTATTCTGATAATTATAGCAAAGGTTAACCCAGGGGTAGAAGTTCCATGCACAGTGTGCCTGAATGGCTTAAAATATTTGACAATTGCACTGAATGTTTAATGAAACCTTACTGCAGGGGTCGGCAACCTAAGGCCCATGAGCCACAAGCGGCCCATGGGGGTCATTTAACCAGCCCATGAGCCACCCCCGAACAGAGCCGCTCACTCAGCGAGCCCCCACGTGCTGTGCTAAACCGGTACAGGGACTCGCTTCCACGGTGCTGGAAATCGTGTCTGCGCAGATGCAGACACCAGAAATCATTTCTACACAGACGCAGATGCCGGAAATCATGGACGCACGCAGGATCCGGTCCACGGAGGGATCTCCACTGGAGTGAACCGGTCCAGACGAGGTAAACCTTGCTGACCCCTGCCTTACTGTATGCATGCTTATATAGTCCACAGGGCAGAGACACTGTGTGTTTGTGATCAGGGGGTGTCATCAATGACTGCCTTGCCCCACCTTCCAGCCCCTAGAAGCAGTAGCAGCTGGTGGCGTGGGCAGAGTTGTGTTACTGACCTAACTTCCCAAAGCCACACATCACTGCCAGTTGCTTAAAGGTGAAGGGCAAGACAGCAGGGACAGTTTCCTCCTTTTTTAGTTTCCTCCTTTTTTAGTTCTCTATCACCATGTGACCTCATCAAAATAGGACGTGCCTGAGTTTTCTCACTAGGAGCTCAGACCATGAGCTATTTTGTATCCTAAGATTATTGCCTGTGTTTACTTGCTGCTGCATGGATAAATGCGTGAACTTGACCTTTTGAACTTTATAAGTACAGTGGTACCTTGGGTTAAGAACTTAATTCGTTCTGGAGGTCCGTTCTTAACCTGAAACTGTTCTTGACCTGAGGTACCACTTTAGCTAATGGGGCCTCCTGCTGCCGCCGCGCCACCAGAGCACAATTTCTGTCCTCATCCTGAAGCAAAGTTCTTAACCCAAGGTACTATTTCTGGGTTAGCGGGGTCTGTAACCTGAAGCATCTGTAACCTGAGGTACCACTGTAAAGCATTTTAAAACTTACTCAGGACAGGGTACATTTAAAAGGTTTGACTGCCTATGTTGTTGTTTAGTCGTTTAGTCGTGTCCGACTCTTTGTGACCCCATGGACCAGAGCACGCCAGGCATTTCTGTCTTCCACTGCCTCCCGCAGTTTAGTCAAACTCATGCTGGTAGCTTCGAGAACACTGTCCAAACATCTCGTCCTCTGTCATCGCCTTCTCCTTGTGCCCTCCATCTTTCCCAACATCAGGGTCTTTTCCAGGGAGTCTTCTCTTCTCATGAGGTGGCCAAAGTACTGGAGCCTCAGCTTCATGATCTGTCCTTCCAGTGAGCACTCAGGGCTGATTTCCTTAAGAATGGAGACGTTTGTTCTTCTTGCAGTCCATGGGACTCTCAAGAGTCTCCTCCAGCACCATAATTCAAAAGCATCAATTCTTCGGCGATCAGCCTTCTTTATGGTCCAGCTCTCACTTCCATACATCACTACTGGGAAAACCATAGCTTTTACTATACAGACCTTTGTTGGCATGCTATTCTGCTGCTTTCTTTTGTGACTTGAAAATTCTGCTGGGAGCTGTCTCTTACTGGATAATATGTTTAACTCTGCACTTTGGATCTAGGGATCCAGCCAGTCTTTTATTGATTATCCCACATGGGTGATCTATATCTATTCCCCCCCCCCCAAGAAATAAAAATCTGTGGTCCTCCAAATGTTGCTAGACTACACCTTGTTCTTGTTTTTATTCTGTATTTTGTGTTTTTATATTGTGACATTATGTTGTGAACTGCCCCGAGACCTGCAGGTATAGGGCAGAATACAAATTTAATAAATAATAATAATTAATAGACTACAACACCCATTTTCCCTTATCATTAATCATGCTGGCTGAGGCGGATGGAAGTTAAATTGTATCTGGAGGGTTGAACCATAGGATTTAATAACTATGCACAGATGCAAGGACTCCCTCCCTGCTCTTTCTGAGGCATTGCTAAGAACTCTTGAACTGGGTAGCAAAAGTACTTTGGGTGGGCAAATGGCTGGGCATAAGCTCTTGAGCAGGTTACCTGTAATACATCAGATGATGGTGCCATTTTTCTCTAAAGGAGGATATGCATTCCTTTCAGGGATGTTGCCCTCTAAAGAAGGGTGCATATTCCTTTCATGGAAGTTCATTGCTGCCCTTAAGATACATGAGCAGTTGTACTCCCTGTTCCTTCAGGAATGCCTGCAGCACTGACAGAAACTGTAGGGATCCCGTTCATGGCTTTGAGTTTAATATGTAAAAACAAGGAATAAAATTTCTATACAGAGCTGCTTTCTTGTGTGGTGCTGATGACACACATTTATATTTCTGAATGACAAAAGCCCTGCAGTATTCTCAGTTTATAAAACAATCAGAAACGCAAACATCTGGTTCTTGTATCCTAGACTGAGGCATCTGTGTAGTCCAGTATTTTCCAGAAAACCTGCTTGAGTAAATCAATCTGTTCCTCACACACACACTCATACACCTAAGCTTGTGGTTGTCCAAGCTGTGTGTTGGGGCAAGCTCGCAGCTTTATGTGAAACCTCCCCAGTTCACAACTGAGAAGCTTGATAAGGTGTGAGGTGACCTTTGGACGCCTGGCAAGGATTCTCACAAAGTAAAGTGCTTACTGAATATCACTTGGCATTTACCTAGGGAGAAATTGTTGGGTTATGTTTAGCTTCTGCTTCTTGACAGACATATGACCTGCTCTTGGGCCTTGTATTAATGCCAAATTAAATACATTAACCGCTTTTTTTAAAAAAAGTTTTACTAATATATGTTTGGATTGGATGGGGAAAATATTAAATAGAAATAAAGAGCAATTTTTTTAAAAAAATGCTTCATATTCTACAAATAGAACATTATTTTGAAGATCTGAAAGACACAATGTTATGGAAGGAAAAGTATTGTACAAATGCCTGGCCTGTTAGACTTTGCTCCACAATGCTTTTTACATCGCAAATGATAAAAGAGTATCATTCTCTCCTTTGCTGCCACCACCATCCAACAAACATGTTAGGAATTTGAAGTCTACTCAGTACTACTGCTCACCCTGACCTGCTTGCTGAAAGGTAGAAAGTGGGCAGGGAGGTTGGCATGGTGCAAATGCACCAGTAGGAGGGTTAGATTGGCTCTGCTGGTGCATTAGCAGTGCACCGCCCTTGCCACTGCCTTGCCCTTCTCCATCTATCTCCTGGTATGCAACAGCAATGCAAGCAACCAGAGGTCAGGCGAGTGGCGGCACCACATCATCCCCTACTGAGTTGTTATTATTATTAATAATAGGTTGTTTGATATTGCACATTCCATTTCCATAGTGGTCACTTGCTTGCCACTTGTACAAACTGCACTCATCTTGATGGAGCATATAGTGGGAAAGATAGCAAATGTATGGTTCTTTTGTTCTAGTCGCCTTCTTAAGATGGCGAAGAAACATTTTAGTGGCAAGTACAGAAAGCAAGCATCCTTAGCACTTCCAACATCCACAGCCTGGAACAGAGGAAAAGTTAATTTGTCTAATAGTTCCTTTGGCTAAAATGACTGTGAGAAACGTAATTAGTTAAGAACATTTTAAATCACACAAGTTCTCATGACAAGATTAAAGCAACTGCTACACAGTCACTTGGATGCAATGTACATAGATGCTCCTTTGTCAGAGTTTGACATCCTTAGTTATTGGGGGGGGGGGATGAAAGAATATTAAACAAAATTAAAAGAACAACAGGAATTTTGGTAGTTTCCAAACTGTTGCTGTTTTGGGGTGGGGTTTGATTACGTACCAGCAAATTCATGTGTACATCACTCCGGATCCCTGCTTCTCCTTCCTAACTGTCACTCTTTAGGATAAAGCAAGTCAGAAAACGGCAGCTAGGCAACCCATTCTACTTATCTTACACCAGGGGTGTCAACTTGAATAAAACATGGAGGAGGGCAGGTAAGCCCTGCCCCGCATAATCACATGACGCAGTGCATGCACACCATTTAAATGGCAGTGACCATCAACTTGGGGAAGGCTGGCCCCCTCAAATATTTTAATGGGAGGGTGAAGACCCCTAGGAGTTGGCTCCTATGCCTCACACCCCTGCACACATTTGAAATTTTGAAAGTTTAACCAGTCACCATCATCTTCTTCCCCGTTAAAAGTCATCTAGGACATTACAAGCATAGCTAGTTGTATGTTCTATGTTTTATATTTACCTTGTAAATATTCCAGCTTGTAAGAGATGTACTGAAGAAATCCAACTCAGCTTCTGAGTGCCATCATCTTTAAACCAAGTGTAACTGAAATACTGGACAACTAGTGATGAAAGAAGCCCTGTGGCCAATGTCAAGGCACACCAGAGATACTGTCCCTCATGAAAATATTTGTTTGCTACCCAGAGATCTGCTCCAATATCCGCAACATAAACCACAATTCCAAGAACCATCGTAGCAAACTCTTGCTTTGTATATCTCATTGTCTTGATGGATCATTTCATCTCAGGTCAGAAGCAAAATATGTCATTTCTTAGTGCATCACATACTAAGAAAATATGTGAGCGTATTTCTCCTTTGGGAAATTGGGGTGTGTATTTGTTGAAGTGGCAAATTGAATCAAAACCACAGATACTCGGATAGATTAGCTCTGCTTCAGTACTAAAGATTCATTTGCGTACATATCCATATGCACATTGAATGGTACTGGTGAAGCTGATTCCTCCTGATAAGTCCTGAAAAGAATAAATGGATAGGTAACTAGCTGGATCAGAAGAGTGTAAAAACCTCTTAACAGTAGCATAAATAATGATTACAGCAGCAACAAATGCAATGCAATCCTGTGCATGTTTTGCTGTGTTCAATGAGCTTACTCCCAGACAACTGTGCATAGGATTGCAGCCCTAAACTACTAATCAGATAGATTAATCCATAAAAGCCTTTACAAAAGAAATTAATAGGGAACACATTTGTTGTTTTTTAAGTGGCTTGTTTTTAATATAGGTATGTCAAAAAGTAAAGATGAAAGGCAGCATTTCAGGACACTCCGTCTTCTCTCTCAGGGGATTGGAATGGAAGAAAACACATCTGAAAACAAACTATTATATCCAATGCTGTGCCAGCAGAGTTCTGCTGGTGTAACAGGACTTCTACTTCCTCTCCTCCCCCTTCATGCTTCCATGGCATGTTTGCCTTGTACTTTGCACTTGATCTTTGGCACATTTGTCAGAACGATTGGCCACTCTTTTCCGAAGCATTTCGCTTAATTTAACTCTGAGACCCTTTCCAGGGGGAAATCCTTTCCTGCGCAGCAATGTGCCGTTTTTATGGCTCATTGGTAGTGACAGCCATACGGAGCAATACCCATTACATTTTAAAAGGGTGAAAGGCTGGCGTTGTGGGAAGGCACAAGAGATGGTAAGATGTTTGTGGCTAGAGAGCGTGGTCACTGAGGAAAAAAGAAGGGGGAAGTCCCAAAAGAAGAACAATTTAACAAGCCATTTAAAATGCCACAGGTAGACAGTTAAAGGTGCTTGCATTGCATCATAGTGTCCATGGCGTCTGACAGTCACCTATGGCATTAGTACAACTGCCATCCACACAGCTAAATGCTAATTGTATGTGCTTAGGCAAGAATCCCAGTATCCCAGCAATTTAGATTAGTGCTGTGGATACTGATAAACAATAGTCACACACACCCCTGCAGACAATTGCTGTCTGTGTGGTTCAGGGGCAAACAATTGTTGTTTAATCTCTTCAAAGAGACATAGCCAGTTCCTTCAGGCACTTGTGCAGTGCTAACCTTTTCTACTCAGAAGTAAGCCTAATATAATTCTAGGAGCCTTACTCCCAAATAAGTGGGGCTATGGTTGCAACCTTATCAGATGGGCAATTTGACCCTAGGGCATTTTGAAAGCGACCCACAAGTGTGTGTGTGTGTGTGTGTGTGTGTGTGTGTGTGTTTATGTGGAACAGAAAGTGGGAATTGGGAATTTCGAAACTGAATGTGTTTTATTTCTACCCAATGTAAGTTTGACATAAGCATGACGGAAATGCAGAGAATGAAACAAACTGAAAATGCCTTCAGTGTCAATTTTTCATCTCCCACCTACAATAACATCTTCAATAACATGGAGAGCATTTACTGAGAATCAACATGAAGAAACATATCCCTTATTATTCCATACCCAAAAAAATCCCTCTAATTTTTCTTCCAAGATCTAGGGAAACATACATCCTTTGATAGACTTCTTGACAGCATGAGTTAACCATAACAGAACAGCTCTGGAACCCACAGTAATACTTGTTTGTTTCCCTGCCTTATAACCACTGAAGTAAACAGTACACATCTACTTTGGTTGGATTCCAGATTGTCATTCTAAGACTATATATAGATGATGTAGAATATGATCACCTAGATTTTTTAACTACAGGCAACACCCCTCTCATAAAGAAGACTTACCTTAAAAGTTTCCAGATAAATAAACATCCCAGTAGCAAATCCATAGTCAGAGAGTTGCCTTGAAAGTCTGGATGGTTTACACTGTTGAACTGTGATACTTTGCAATCTGCAACCAGGAAAAGGTAAAGGGTGTGGGATAAAATGAAAACTGAAACGCCCCTCTCCTCCGGGCCATGTGATTCGATTAATAATACTCTAGCTACGTGGACTGTCATTGCTTTGACTGAGTCAGCCTTTTTAAAAAATAAATAAATCATTTATTAAAAATCATCTGTGACCACTTTCCTAAATCCCTGCAAAATATAAAAATGAATCCTTTGTTTAGCTGCTTTGTTCCACATGCTTAAATAACAAGCTCTGTGTATTTAATGGTGATGACAAGTTGTACCTGCAACAAAGTGTTGCTATGTGGAATCCTCTCTCTTCAGGATTCTGGTCACTCCATTCCATTTCCCTTCCCCATATCCCCCACTCCAAGAGTAGATCCATAACTACTGAGCATGCTTAATTCTCCTGACTGGACAGTTTTGGGTTCCCCGCCCACTCCTGCTTAAGAGTTTTTCATTTATAATTTTTCTTTTGTACTTCTGCAAACCTCGGGGTTCCTGCTCAGTCTTGTGCATTGGTGGTCTGCATACATAATCAACAGAGCTCATAACCTGAACATCAGAGACAGAGGGAATAAAAGAGTCCTGCAACAAAATGTTGCAATATGGAATTCTCCTTTCCCATTTTCCCAACCACACTAAATCAGGCTTCCTCAAACTCGGCCCTCCAGATGTTTTGAGATGACAATTCCCATCATCCCTGACCACTGGTCCTGCTAGCTAGGGATCATGGGAGTCATAAGCCAAAAACATCTGGAGGGCAGAATTTGAGGAAGCCTGCACTAAATGATAATGTGTGTTCAGGTCTAGATGCAGGAGCATTTGGAGGTGCTGTACACACAGTGTCATCCCCATGTTATCCCTGTCCCACACTATTAGTTAATCTAAAGCATATTCTGCAGGAACAGTTTTAATCTATTTTGTGCTGAGAATACACTTCTCAGGCGCTTGCTGTTGCCATGTGTAAATAGATAATGTTTTCTTAGGTCACCTCCTATTGACTTAGTGAAGTTGCAGGGCTGTGCCACTCGCCCTCTCCTATCAGACTTCTGGTATATCAAAAAAGACACAGAAAAAAAATTAAGTGGAGAAGGGAAGATTTCACATCAGTTCTGCCAGTGAATAGACTGATTGAGGGGAGGGGAGTTGAGAACATTGATGCACACTGCTTCGTAAACATGCCCACCTGTATGTGCAGATAGAACATATATTGAGCCTTATACATATTGAGCAGGAGCCTTAGGCAACATTATTGCGCAAGTGTGTACATATGTATAGCAAATGCCACCCTCCAGCCTTTGCCCTCCACCTTCACTTTCCTCCACCTTGGCCCTGTCCTGTCCTGTCCTGCAGGCTGCTACTAGGCAGACCTAGAGGAGAGATTGGTTAGGAGGCCTTCTGCACAGCACCAGCATTTGGGGGCACCAGTTACCCAGTTACTACTGTCTGAGCATCACTGGGTGTTGGGAGTCAAAGCAAATCAACACACAGAAAGAAATCTAGCCACACTGGATTTTTCCCTGTGGTAGTGGGAGAAAGCTCTGCTGCTGTGCAGTCTAAGAAAAGCTAACATATTACTTCTTGGGGGTCTCTCGTTCATTTTTCTCACATACGTCAATTTATCCCCCCCCCCAAAAAAAGTAAACCATCTTCAGTATGTTTTGAATAAAAATACAGAACTGTGCTTTAAGCGAAAAAATCGGGGGAAAGGAATTTGACTTTAACCACTCTAGCTGAGCTGACAAAATTGCTAACACTTCAGAAATATCTCCAGGGTTTCAGCTGACAACTGTTTGCATGCAAAGGCGGGAGAAGTGTTCAACGTGTCTTAAAACAAATTACTACAATCTACTGCATAGTTAAAAGGATGCTTCAGTCCTCTCAATCTCAATGGGAGCTGAATAACATAACTTTGCTCAGAATTGTATGGGTAAATAAGCTCTGAAGGCTGCACCCTGTTTTGAGAACACACCATATTAGCTACATCATCATTCTGCACCAATTTTGTTATGACAGAACTTGTAATTTACTTCAGATGGTGTTAGTACTGCCATCTACAGACCAAATATGAATTAGCAGCCTTTTCAAAAAAAAGTCTACAATAGACACATCCAACTCCCAAAAGACTGAGTTGTTGAGCTTTTTGGGGGGAGGATTGCCTAAAATCAGTCCAGCACTGACAATCGCTGGACAATACAATTTATTCCCCATGCTCTGTGTTTAAGACACGGTGTGTGGATGTGCCAAAAATACAACTAGGCTATTACAAGCCCCTTTTGTGAATCAATATACCCCAATACTCCCAGAGCTACAATTTTCGGAGTTACCTGGTGTTATAAGAAAAAAACTGCTCCCTTTCCCTTATGGGGTATCTAAGAGCCCGTATAGAGTCCTTATGTAAGTTCTCTATTGGTAGGAGAAAATAACAGAGGCCAGCCAGAGAATATTGAGAAACAAAGCAGCTAGTAAGCATGATCTTTATTAAACTGTTACAACAGGGTCTCCCACTCCCCACACACAAGGAGGGAGGAGAGGAAGCCAGAACATTGGTGTGCAAGCTCTTATATAGACTTTTGAAATTGCCTCACCTGTAGCTCAAGACCACCCCCCCAAAAAAACATCATGCATACATCACAGAAAGAGGTGGTCCCCAGCAGAAATTTGAGTGTGTTGCTTCTCTCCTGTCTGCCAGGATACCTGATAATGCCCTATCTGATTGCCTTATCTGGGTAGCCTGGCCATTGCTTTGAGATGGTAAATGCTTAGTTCCTGAATCTGTTGTGCATATCAATAGTGTGCTCAGCTTAATAGATACTTGCCAGACTGTATTTACAGGGAGGTGTAAGCCTCTACCGTCCAAAGACAATTGGAAAGCAATTCCCATTTCCTTCCTCCTTGCAGAGAAATATTTGAGGTCAATTTGGGAGAGTCAAAATGGCTTCAGGATTGTTCTCCTGTACTCCTGTATTTCAGACACATGGTTTATATACTTATGTTTGTGTTTGCCTTGTAGATCTATGAACATTTATTTACCGTATTTTTCGCGCCCTAAGGCGCACCTGACCATAAGGCGCACCTACTTTTGGGGGGGGGGATTAAAGAGGGGGAAAATGCGGCTTTGGGGGTTTTTGTGGGAGGTGGGGGAAGTGAGAGAGCCTCGCTCTGTCCCTTCTCCCACCTCCCGCAAAAGCCAGGGATAGCTGCACGAAGCCTCCCCAGGGCAGCGGGATAAAGGCTCCCCGCTGCCCTGCGGAGGCTTCCTGGGCTACCCCAGAGCTGCTCGACCCAAAGAGCAGGTCGGGGAGCAGCGGAAAGGCTACACACAGCCTTTCCGCTGCTCCCCGAGCTTTTGGGGCTGGTGGTGGGAGAAGGCCGAGAACAATTATGATTTCCAGTTAGCCTGTGCTAATTTCTAGTCATGTGATTGAACAATAAGGGGGTTATATATGAAGGCTGCTGGCATGCACAATTGTCAACCTGGTCCAGATCATTGCATGCCTCCATCAAGTCCTTGGAAAGCAATGCTCAACAACTCAGCAGTGGCATTCCAAAAGCTGATTCAAGCTAAGTTCACACCTGCCATCAGCATGTACACAAGTGCTTCAGTCCATGTCTGTGTATACACCATTCAGAGCACATTCAGAGAACATGTCTCTCCCCACTCAAAGAATCCTGGAAGCTGTAATTTGTTACTGATGCTGGGAACTGGAGCTCTGTGAGAGCAGCAAGCTCCAGCTCCTAGGATTCTTCGGGGGAAGCCATTTGCTTTAAATGTATAGTGTACACACAGCCGAAGCAGAAGTTAGCATAGGCTGCCTGAAAATCATAAAGTGAGAGGGTAATGGAAGGAAGGCAACCCTTATTCAGGAGACAGAATCTTCCTGCCTTCTCATATCTAATCTTGTATCGGCTCATGAACCTGCCTGGACTTTAAGTTCAGCAGCAGACGGTTTGTTCTCTGTTCCACCCACTCAGATAAATCTACACAAGAGACAAGGCTTTGTCAGTGGTGACAGCCTGAATACATCATTCCCTGTTAGTGAAGATAATGGGGCTACTCTCGATGTTGGCCGGTAGCATTATTCATTACTTTTGTCAATGGCAGCAAGCAGCTCACCACATGCACTTTGTGTTGCTTTCTTTATAACAGCCAAGTGGGTTTTCTTCATTGTTGCTATCTGACTTGGGCCCCTAGGAAGTTGTTTGTTGGCTGGCTGGCTGGCTGGCTGGCTGGCTAGTTGGTTTGTTTATTACATTTATAGTCCATGTTATGTACTTTAGTTCTCACCCTGGGCCAGCAGGGGGATACTGTAGTTTTCACTCAGGTCCACATATGCAAATAAGGGATTGAAAGTGACATTCAGTGATTGGATAGTTACAGAAAGTGGTTACTGTTGCGTTGTAGTGGAGCTCTATATAAGCAGGCTGGTTGAACCTTTCTGTTCAGTTCTTTTCTGGCCTGTGAATAAACAAGAGCTGTTTGAAAAATTGCTGTGTCATCTGATATGTTCACCCACAACTTAACAGTCCGCCTTTCTTCCGTTGTGGAAGATAAGGCAGCATAAATGTGGCTTCAGATGCTCACCCATCCAGACACTGACTGACCCTGCTGGGACTTGTTTAGTCTTATTTTGTTGGTGTCATCAAGAGCAGCTTCAGTTCACAAAACAAAATGTGTGGCCTTTTCCAGCGTCTCATTAGTGAAATACATTTCTGTTAATATTAAAGCAGCTTTCAACCCTTTCCTAAGCATTCGTTGTTAGCAAAGTCCGTTGTTCACTCTGGAAAAGTTAATTTGTTCCTAGATTCAGAAACATTCCCAGGGCAAAACCTGCAATCTACAACAATGGAAAAACAACGAGTCTTAAGTCTTTGAGGTGCCACCAGACTCCTTGCTGTTTTGCTACAGCTAAATCTCCAGAAATTAATTCTGGAGTAATTTAAGCGTAATCGTATTTTTCCTTGCTTTCCCGGTTCAGTGGAGCAGCGTTATGTATTGCTCTTGGGAGAGGAGAGGGGAGGAAGAGAGGCACATTTAAGGAAATGGGCAAAAATAAATTTAAAAATACCCACGCTAACTGCACGCAGTTAAATCCAGGGCGTTACTTAGAACGCCCCGTTCTGTCAAGCGTGTGACTGTAAACAAACCCCGCTGGGAGAAGCGGTTTGTGCCGGGACTCGAGTTCTAGACTCACACGGAGTGGCCAGCTTCCGGGTTAGTTTTCGACGCCATTTTTGTTCACCGTCAGAGCTGAAGTGACAGAAAAATTAGGATTTTAGCGGTACCTGTCATCATCTCCCTTCCCTCCTCCCCCTCACGAATGAAAACAACAAAGAAGATAGGATTCGTGCTCCAACTTAGGTCTTCTTATTCCGCGCGGGACGTTGCTCGCCTGATCTTTCCTGCGCTCTGAGAAGAGTTTTGTGTCAGCGACTTTTGGATGGGAAATCCAAACCAGCCCCACCTCTAACCTACAATATATGCTGCCCTACACTGCAGGGGCTGTCAAAAGCCGCTTTATCTCCGCCACATCTCCCCGTTCTCCAAGTATATGGCGATATTAGCTGCAATCTCTAAAACGCTCAAACGCTTTGGGAGGAAAACAAGGTTTGTAAGAAAGCCTGCGTTTTGAAAGTGCATGAACATGCAGCTGCTTTTTCTTTCTTTCTGGGCGTTAGACACACACCCCCATCACATCTACCCTAAAACCCAGGGGTTTCTTATAAGCTCTCACTCCTGCCCAGGGAGGCGGGTGGGAAGGAGTGTCAGAGGTAACCAGGAAGCTGTTTCTTTAGCGGTAGCACCTCTGCAGAATTCCTATCTCTACGTTTCGGCCGCTCAGCCGCTGGAAGAAGCCCCGCCGCGAAGATGGTGTCTGTGCTGCCGCGGGTGGAGAGGCTGTCGTCGCGGGTTGTCCGCGTGCTGGGCTGCAACCCGGGGCCGATGACCTTGCAGGGCACCAACACCTACCTGGTAGGGACCGGCCCCAGGTACGTAGCAGCCCCCGCCGACCTCCCCAGGAGGGACCGGCAGAAGAGAGTGGCTTATAGTTCCCTTTTACCCTGATGCTAAAGTAGCGATTTGGAGCTGGCTTCGGATAACTGTTTCATGGGCAGGGCTTCCTTTGCCCGTAATAGCTGCATAGGCAGGCAGAAATTCAACAGGTGGGGATTCTTCCTCACCAGAGTAGGCATGTGTGTATCTATACATATACATGTGTGTTTGTGTGAGTGCATAAGGTAAAAAGGTAAAGGTAAAGGACCCCTGGACGATTAAGTCCAGTCAAAGGCAACTATGGGGTGCAGCGCTCATCTCGCTTCAGACCGAGGGAGCCGGCGTTTGTCCACAGACAGCTTTCTGGGTCGTGTGGCCAGCGTGACCAAACTGCTTCTGGCGCAACGGAATACCGTGACAGAAACCACACAAAAACACAGTTTACCTTCCCACTGCGGCAGTACTTATTTATCTACTTGCACTGATGTGCTTTCAAACTGCTAGGTTGGCAGGAGCTGGGACAGAACAACGGGAGCTCACCCGTTGCGGGATTCAAACTGCCGACCTTCTGATCGGCAAGCCCAAGAGGCTCAGTGGTTTACACCACAGCACCACCCACGCATACATACCTTTGTGAGCACATAAATACACACACACACACATTTATGTAGTGAGCCCCCCATGTTTCACGAGTTCAGTTGGTACGGCGCATGCACTGCCTGCAGAAGGTCCAAGGTTCAAACCTCAGGTATCTCCAGGTAGGATTAGGAAAGATCCACAATGAGATCTCTGCTGCTGCTGCCAGTCAGTGAATACTGACAGGCATCATTTTATTTGTATGCTGCCTTTCCACTGTTCAAACCATTATCAAGGTGGTGGCTTTCAACATGAAAAGAATGCATAACTGCAACATAACAAAAGTCATAAACAAACAAAACAATAAAAAATATTCCACCAAACTGAAGAGTTACCACATAAATCAGGACAAGATCTCAAATAAAGATACTGTACCAAAAAAACCAGTAACAGCGCGCGCACACACACACCCCGCAACAAAAAACCCCAAACAACATCGCAGCCCAAGAGTCTGGTCAGCAGCCTCATCTTTGGTAGCTGGAGTCAGTCTGGGCCCTGCCTTCCCAGGCCAGGTAAGAAAAGGCCTACAGGGCAAGGAGCAGGTATTTCAGGACTTGCAGCCAAGATGCGCTGAGGACTGAGATAAAGGGTCTCATTAGATGTAAAGCAGCTGCAGGTGTTGTGAAAAAGGCAGAAGACCTGCCAAGTGAGAAGAGGGAACCTTTCTTTATTTTTGAGAAATGATCCATCAGGATTCCCACTTGTGTAAGGATGCAGTGATGTTCTGGAGTAAGAAAAAGTTGCTTTCCATGTCACAGACATTTTGTACTAGGATCCAACCTTACTTTTCTATTAATTGTGCTTTGACTTTTCCAGTTATGGTGTCTTTTTTTGGGGGGTGCGATTCTGTCTTTAATACAGAAGGATCCTTATTGATACAGGAGAACCAGCTGTCCCTGAATATATTGGCTGTTTGAAACAAGCGTTCAACGAATTCAGCATCTCAATCCAGGAAATCTTAGTAACACACTGGCACCAAGATCACACAGGAGGCATATCTGATATTTGTAAAAACTTTCCCACTAGTAAGCAGTTTCATTATTTTTGTTGTTGTCTAAAATGTCTGTATTCTGTTTTTTATACAAAATGTATCCAAGCTGTTTTTCAGTACTTTAATCTGACATTAAATACTGTTAAATAGCAGAAAGATAAAGTAGGAAGAACATTTGAAGGCTTGTATACCAGTGTCTAATAAAATTCTTGCTGGTAAACGCTGAATGCTGGCAACTAACTTCTACATAGTTGATTGTTTACTTCACAGGCTATAAGTAAAACCAGCAAGGTAACTGTTTTTGCATTATAAAGTACATTAGTCTGTGTAGCTATTTGTAATTGTTTTTTTAATACAGTCAAACCTCAGAACTCGAATGTAATCTGTTCCAGAAGACCGTTCGACTTCTGAAACGTTTGAGTTCCAAGGTGCAGCTTCCGATTGGTTGCAATAGCTTCTTGCACTCAAACGGAAGCCGCTTTGGACGTTCGAATTCCGAGGATTGTTTGAAAGCCAGAACACTTACTTCCAGGTTTTTGGCATTCGGGCAATGGAGTCGTTCGAGTTCTGAGGTTTAACTGTATGTGTTTATTGTTAATGTTTTATTGTTAATTGTTTCAGTACGTTTCATGGGAAACAGCTCATGAAGTGAAAACAAGACTGCTTTGCTATGCTTATAAAGTCAGGAAATTTAACTTGCGCATTTTAAATTGGCCAGACCTCTTGCAAAGCCATTTCTTTGCATGCTTACTCATAAAAACTGTTTCTCTTGTTAGCATCATAATGGTATAGAAAGTTGCCCTGGGCAACTAAGTGTGTGTGCGTCTATATCCTTTATCTGTCAACCCATCACTACCAAATGTATGCCATTCTTTTCAACCCAAATGTAAAGTGTATAGGGCAGCTTGTTGGCAAGGCATTGCTTGGTCGTTATGGCCGCCAAGTTGCCATTAGTTTTAACATTACCCCTAACCTGCAGAAGAAGAAGAAAAACTAAGAGACAGTGTGGGTGCATGGAAGGCAAGGGCCCTTCCAGATTGGTGGAGTTTTTCACAGGTGTCTTTTTGCAATATGTCATTGACAGAGTCATAGTGCATTAGTCCACACATAATTTCATTAGTAGTTCTTCAATGGTTCCCAAGCATTACTGCATTATTGCCATCTGTGGGGAGCATTTGGGGTCTCTCCAGATGCTCTTTCTGTTGTGCATTCCTGATCTACGTTCATGATGGTACCAGGATAATTGTATGCAATCCTGCTTTCAGTACTGTTTGCTTCTGCAAAAGTTCTGAGGTGGTCAAACTGCTTCACTTGGAATCGGTGTATGTCCTGTAGATTCCTGCCAAAATCCTATTCTAGTGTTTGTTGTGCTGTCGTGCAAGAGTGCCCCTACGGACAGCAATTATGTGTCGGGGAAGCATTGCAGAACAACTAGCAAATTGGAATGATGTGTGGCTGATCCAGTGTAAATCCATCACTGATGCACTATGACTGAGTCAATGACGTGTTACAGAATACACCTGCAAAAACCAGCCCCAGTCTGAAGAGGCCTGAGTGATATGAAAAGTTACAGGATTTCAGCAGGAAGCTACAAAACATGCACCATTGGGAGATGAAGCAGTCTGCCTTTCCATTAAAGAGAGCAAGAGTCTCCTAAACACACCGGACTCCTGGTTATTGGCCCAAGCATCTAAACAAAAGCAGTCATGTTTCATACCTGGATCAGCCCATTGCCTTGTGCTAATGTTAGCCCAGGTCCTATGAATCATTTGCCTCTCCTCCTATAAGCATTTGCTGGGGCACACTTTATCCTTATTTCATTCCAGAATCTTTTCATTCATTTCTTAAGAGCAATTTATATGACAAATGTCTGTAAAACAATGTCAGCATGCACTTTTGGGAGCAATGTTACAACATGTAAAATAAAGTAATGCTGCTTTTTTATTTTTGTGTTTAAAAACTAAGATACTGTGATTTTTCAGGAAATTTCAAATAATGTGTGACTAAGCTGCTTCTAAAACATATTTAATGCCACATTTCTTTTCAAAACTAGCTTCTGAGTACTGCATAAGCAAACTTCCACGTAACCCACACTCTGAAGAAATAATAGGAGATGGAAAGCAAAAGTATACATACCTTAGAGATGGAGATCTTTTAAAGACAGAGGGAGCTACTCTGAGGTAACTGATAACTTCTGCACATTGACCACTGTATGAAGATTTTCTCTTTCACGTGCAAGATTTTTAATATTGGCGCAATTATGTATTTTATCATGGTATTATCTACTATATATTTTGGAAAGTTGTGTGTATCTGTGGGTTTGGATTAGACCCAAACCTGTCTGGGTTCTTGGATCTTCAGGAAGGCTGCTTTTCCAAGTTCCACAAACATCACAAGTGCCTTTAGCAGGTACACAAGCCTGTCTCTGTTAATCTTCCACAGACAAATGAAAATTCATGTTTAGACAGGACTTTGCCTTATTCAAGTGGTTTTACCTCTACCACAGATTCTTAACGCTTCATATGTTTCATGCTTTTTATATGTATTTGTATTTGTTGTCGGATGCCTTGAGGGCTCTATTGTGGAAAGGTCAGATATGAGTTTAATAATCTTCTTTTGTCAATCTGCAGGGTATTATATACCCCTGGACATACAGATGACCACATGGCTTTACATCTCCTAGAAGAAAATGCTATATTTTCTGGTGACTGCATTTTAGGAGAAGGAACAGCAGTCTTTGAAGACCTTTATGATTACATGAAATCGTTGGAAAAGCTACTAGAAGTGAAAGCTGACTTAATTTACCCTGGTTAGTTCCACATTTGACCTGAATTCAGAACACATCACTTTTTGACCTCCTCTGGTACAGTTCTTATGACTAGAACTGCTGTTCAAAATCCCTAATGCCTTGCTCTTTATCACCAGAGCCCTCTGATCCTTCTGTTGATTGTTGTCCTTTCATGGCAGGTTACAGCAAGCATAGAGAAGGTCTCCTGTGTCTCTTGAATCCTGTTTACAATGTGTTTTGTGATGCTTTAGCTTTCCTACTCATAATAAGCTGAAATTGCAGCCTGAACTTGCACTACATTTGATTTTTTAAAAAGCCTTGTGTGTTGCCAGAGTGCATCCTTGATTTATGGGCCTTATTGCAAATCATTTAGGGCAGTATGCAGTGAAATAGTCCCATTAGCACAAGCGCTTCCAGCTGTGCATTCCCTCTCCTCTCATTCCCTAAATTTGTTCTGGGTTTCTCCCCAACACTCTTGGCAAATGGAAATCCTTGTGCTATCAGAACTACTTTGTTGGATACCGCCCATAGTTTCCTAGAATCTATTGAAAATTATTGAGAGGATACATAAAATTTAACTGCCAAAAGGAGAAGATGCACTGTGGTGCCATCTCTCTGTGAATCCTTGTTGAATGAAACATATGGACACAGACTGATTCGGTGTGTTTTGATAACTTTTTTGTTGGCTAATACCTACCTTTGGAATCTCTGCAGTGCTCAAACTACTGATGACAAAATGTCATACTGAATGAAAGAAGAGCCTGCTGGATCAGGTCAAGCATCCTGTTCTCTTAGTGGCCAACCAGATGCCTGATACCTTCAGCTGTCTAGGGAGCTCCTGATCTCTGCAACTACTTTGTCCTTTTCCTTTGATGCCCCTTATGACTAGAACTGCCTCCCAAGATGCCTTCGTGCAGTCACTTCCCTTAAGTCCCTCCTTGAGATTAACCTGTTGCAGGAAGCCTCACACTACATAACTAAGCCAAAATATGTGCAATTTAAGTAATCACATACTACTCCTCAACCTACTGATACCTCTGCTACCCCCTCGCTTCTTCTTTTGTCTCTCAGTGTTTATTTTACTTGATAAATCCATTGAGGTAGGAATTGGCTATACCTGTTCTTTGCAAATTGCCACATACATAGATAGCACATGACCATTTCCTAGGGTAGGTGTGTACTAATGGTCTGAGTTGTGAAAAGTCCTTTGGCCACTAGAGGGCCAACATTTTTCTTCACATTTGACCTAACTGTATTCAGAGTTCAGTTCTTAAAAGTGACTATAGAAGAGATGTTAAAGATATGGGGTGGTATCTGATGAACTCGGAAGTGGGCCTGTTGAGATCAATAGGCATGGTTTCAGTGAGTCTGCTCTGAATACGTCTTTGTCTGATGCCAACCTAAACTGGAAATCATAGTAATATTAACGTAAAGGCTTTGCTCTTAAACTGTTTTTTGTTTGTTTGTTTGTTTCAAAATTTTAGTGTTGTGGTGATCTAATGCAACTGCTAGGGTGAGAAAGTAATAATACCTCTAAACTTACTGGTGCAGACATGCAGCAAAATCAGAAGATACTGGAACCATACGGGACACCTATTCCACTTGCTTTGAACATCATAATAACAAATACTGCAGCAGAAGCAGAGACTGTAAACGTGTATTGTTGTTGTAGTTTTTCTATATTAACCCCTTTTTTCCCCTTACAGGACATGGCCCAATAATAAAAGGGGCAAGAGCTAAAATTCAAGAGTACATTTCTCACCGAAATGCACGGGAACAGCAAATCCTCAATGTCTTGAAAGAGAATGCTGAGAAATCTTTTACAAGAGAGGAACTTGTGAAAATGGTATACAAGGTAGCTGTCTAGCTGACTCTTACTTTTGAATTAGGAATAAGATGTTTAATTTCGCTAGTAGAAGCAGTCACAATAAAATGAATGGTTCACAAACATCGTAGTTTCTATGACAAGGAAAAAGTGACATGTGTATGTGTTCACTGTAGCAAGGCAAATTGGAAGCTGTCCTGTATCTAAACTTTCTTGTTTTTGTTGGGACATTAAGAATTTCATCAATTTCCTTTTTTCCCCCAGAACTAAAATTATTTTGGCAGACCCTCTTCAGGAAAAGCAGATCTTCAAACTCTTGCATTTTAAACATACAAAATGCTAAACGATAAAGAATATGTCACATATCCAAAAGCATATAAGATGCAGCATGGAAATGCAATTTGTACAATATGCTGGTATTACTGCTATGTGATCAAGGCTTCCTAAGCTGATACACCAGCAAAAATATTAGGGACACAGAAGCTGCCTCATCTCTAGTTAAGATTGTTGGTCCATCTAGCTCAGGGTTGTCTACACAGAGCAACAATGGTATTCAAGACCTTCAGGCAGGGTTTTTTCTCAATCCTAACTGGAGATGCCAGGGGTTCAACCTGGACTTTCCACATACAAAGCATATGAACTTGCTGTTGTTTAGTCGTGTCCGACTCTTCGTGACCCCATGGACCAGAGCACGCCAGGCACTCCTGTCTTCCACTGCCTCCCGCAGTTTGGTCAGACTCATGCTGGTAGCTTCGAGAACACTATCCAACCATCTCATCCTCTGTTGTCACCTTCTTCTTGTGCCCTCAATCTTTCCCAACATCAGGGTCTTTTCCAGGGAGTCTTCTCTTCTCATGAGGTGACCAAAGTATTAGAGCCTCAGCTTCAGGATCTGTCCTTCCAGTGAGCACTCAGGGCTGATTTCCTTCAGAATGGATAGGTTTGATTTTCTTGCAGTCCATGGGACTCTCAAGAGTCTCCTCCAGCACCACAATTCAAAAGCATCAATTCTTCGGCGATCAGCCTTCTTTATGGTCCAGCTCTCACTTCCATACATCACTACTGGGAAAACCATAGCTTTAACTATATGGACCTTTGTTGGCAAGGTGATGTCTCTGCTTTTTAAGATGCTGTCTAGGTTTGTCATTGCTTTTCTCCCAAGAAGCAGGCGTCTTTTAATTTCGTGGCTGCTGTCACCATCTGCACCATCATGGAGCCCAAGAAAGTAATATCTCTCACTGCCTCCATTTCTTCCCCTTCTGTTTGCCAGGAGGTGATGGGCCCAGTAGCCATGATCTTGGTCTTTTTGATGTTGAGCTTCAGACCATATTTTGTGCTCTCCTTTTTCACCCTCATTAAAAGGTTCTTTAATTCCTTCTCACTTTCTGCCATCAAGGCTGTGTCATCTGCATATCTGCGGTTGTTGATATTTCTTCCGGCAATCTTAATTCCGGCTTGGGATTCATGCAGCCCAGCCTAGGACCCTTTATTTATTTATTTACTTACTTACTTACTTACTTACTTACTTACTTACCACCCTGTACCTGGAGGTCTCAGGGCAGATCACAGAACAAAATCAAAATATAAAACCACAATATATATATATATATAATCAAAATAAAAACAATAACACAATATCAAGCAATCCATAGTCTGTTGTCCACTACCAGTTGGCCAGGGAAGAAAAGCAGAAGCTCAGCGGTGTTTTTTATATGATAACTATAATTATGGGAAGAATACATTTGCACAGTTCTCTCTCTCTTTCTCTTTCTCTTTCTCTTTCTCTCACACACAGGCTGCTTGAGGACAGTAACATTAACATGATGAAGGCGCTCATGTACTTAATACTATGAACACACACAAGTCTGTAAAATAAAATAATAATAATACATGTGATTACCAGATATTGCGGGGGAAGCTGGAGTATAAATATAATGACAATAGCCCAAATCCAAATAATTGTGTAATTTATTCTGTGAGTCCAAGGAGGCTTCAGGTTTGTGTTTGGTTCTTTATATCTGCCCATCTCCCCAGTGCTTAATCGCTTACTGCTTCTGAAACTGAGGGAAATATTTAAATAGCAGTTCGTAATCTGGTGTGGGGAGGAGTTATTCGGAGAAAAGATGTCTGATTTGGCCACAGTGACACATGCCTTAGCTATATCCTGTTTGGATTACTGTTAACGTGCTCTTTGTGGGGCTGGCTTTGAAAAGTGCTCAGAACTTCAATGGAGTCAAAGAGCTGCAGCCAGATTGTTGACTGGGGCTGGTTATAGGCAGCATATGACTCCCTTGATACAACAGCTTCACTGGCTACTGGTCTGTTTCCAGGCACTATTCAAAACATTGGAAATGACCTATAAAGCCCTACACAGCTGAGGTCCAAGCTATCTGAAAGACCGTATTCTCTCATACAATCCTGCCTAGGTTTTGAAACATTACAGGGAGGCCCATCTCTTGGTCTTACCACCCTCACAAGCACATTTGGTAGGGATATAAAAAATGGCCTTCTCAGTGCCTGCTCCCAGACTTTGGAACTCCCTCCCTAAAGAAGCTAGACTGGCTCCCTCCTTGCTGTCCATGTTGGCAGGTGAAGTATTTCTTTCAACAGGCCTTTGGGAATTGACTGCTTTTAATCAAAGGGCTGTTGTCGTGCTGTTTTTATTATAATTATTGGTATGTTTTAAACATATTTTATATTTGTATATAATTTTAATTCTGTTGTATTTTAATTTTAATTATGGATTTTTCCTGTGTTTTTAGCGGTTTTTGTTTTTTTCCTGGAAGCTGCCTTGAGTCTTGTCAGGGAAAAAGGCGGAGTATGAATATATTTTAATAATAATAATAAATGTCAAAAATTACATTGGGCTAACACAAGCTTCTTGTGTGAGTCTAAGCAGTTCTTTATTTCCCTGCTAATAAATATATGAATAGGTACTACAATCAATGCACTTTTTTCCTTTATCTGTTTGTCAAGAAGATGGAAACCCCCAAGAGTGCTTTAATTAGTTCAACATTTGGCTCTGTTCTGTTCTTTAACTTGGCATTAGTGTGCTTGTGTGACTTTTTAAAATCCTGACTGAAATGAAATTACCAAGATGCCATTTTAATAGTGTTGCCATTTAACAGTTCAACCTTATACATCTCAACTCAGAAATAAGACTCTTCTTTTTTTATCCCAGTTGAACTTCCTTACAGATAGTGTATATAAGACTGCTTCCTAAACGTGTGGTTCATGTGTTTTTAATTATTTTTTCTCTAGGACACACCTGAACACTTGCATAGAGCTGCAGAGATTAACCTCGGCCATCACTTGAAGAAACTAAAAAAAGAAGGGAAAGTGTGTAAGTGGCTTTGTCTTTAACCCACATCTGTTGTATTCCAGCAGCATGTTTATGATCCAGTTTTCCAGAATTTTTCTGTGTTTAAGCCCAGGGGTGGGCAGAAGGTAGATCTGGAATGTACTATTGGATGCTTGTACAGTGGTACCTCGGGTTACAGACGCTTCAGGTTACAGACTCCACTAACCCAGAAATAATACTTCGGGTTAAGAACTTTGCTTCAGGATGAGAACAGAAATCGTGCTCCAGCAGAGCGGCAGCAGCGGGAGGCCCCATTAGCTAAAGTGGTACCTCAGGTTAAGAACAGTTTCTCTGGAACGAATTAAGTACATAACCAGAGGTACCACTGTATACTATAGCTGTCCATCATGCCAATAAGGCGTTTTTAATGCAACAATTCTTTGTTCCCAAATGATTATTTTTTTTTTTGCTTGAATTCAGAGACCCAGATCTGCACAGAGCCTTTTGAATAGTTCTACACTGTGGACACACATATTTTATTTATTTAAATCAGGGGTGGCTAACTGTATTCAGCCCAAGGGTTACAATGACTGTCAGTCACCTTCCTGAGGGACATATGCCAGTAGTGGGTGTGCTCAGTTTTTTCTCGCATGCACACATACACACTCCACCCATACAGATGGCACAAGCACACTTTCCCGCTCCCCAGCATTCACACGCATCCTCACCGCACATGCTGGCACACAGCACTCTGTTTCAAACACACACACACACACAAATGCAGTCATATATATATATATATACATATATATATATATATATATATACACACACACACACGCACGCACACACGTTTGTGCACAAAAAACCCCAGCACTCTTCCTCTCCCAAGTAAGGAAAAGGGTGCTTACAAAGGCATCCTCGCCCCAGCAATGGAATGGGGGAAATGCTGCCTTTACTTTTTCATCTCCGCTGCCTTCATTGGCACCTCAGTCCTAGGTTATGGGCATACTGCATCAAAACAAAGCCCAAGAGAATTCACTGGATCATAAATAATTATAGAACATCTCTGAACTGTAAATGTTAAGCTTCCTGCTATTTAGAAAAACAGCATTTTGGAACTTTAATAGAGGATAACTTGTCAAAATACTTAAATGCCTCACTAATATTCAAATAGTTTTAATGGGCTTTAAAAAAAATATTCAGATTACTGTTTTTTTAAAAAATCATATTCCCAAATTGATAATCTTTGAAAGATGCAATATACTAACAGAAAAAAATTGAGATTAAAGTTGTGCTTGTAAATCACTTTCTGCTTAATGTCTTGCATCAAAAAACTTTTGTTTTAAATAGTAATGTTTTCAGATACCAGCTTATTTAATATTTTCTTCTTCTTTTGCAGCATATGAAAATTCTCCCGGCTTCAGATGGAAAAGCAGTTTATAGACAAAACACAAAAATAAGTGTGAGGCTGATGTTCTTGTGCCCTCCCTCTAAAGAAGCACCAAATTGTCCACACAATATTTTTTTTCTTGGCAAAAGATATTTTGAGTACTTCAGCATAGCGAGAGTAAATTCATAAAATTTGACCAAGTTACTTAATTCTGTTTTTCAGCAAAATGAATAAAGTGCAATTATTCACATATAAATTATTGTGTGTTTTCTTAACTAGAATTTCTTAATTATACAGGCCTTCCTGTCTAAATAATGGCATGTCTACGGTCTTATTTTGTGAAACAGCAGAACTATTGTAAATTATTTTTATTTGTGGTGATTTTTTCTTTTAAAAATTGTTGTATATCTCTTCGATTGAGGTAATAAATTCTTTAAATAAATATTTAAGCACGCCACTTTTAAAGAATGTTAAGCATTTGGGGGGGCCAAGGACACACTGCATACTAGACAGGGCTGGCCCAATACATTTTGACACCTGACACGAAGCACAAGGTGGGTGCCAAAGTGGGGTGTGAAGATATGCCACAGGAAGAAGGGTAGATGGAGACCAGCAGTGCTTCCTTTTCACCAAGAAACTGCTGTAGAGGCGGCATTGTGGGGGCTGCCAAGGAGGAGGCAAATCTGGCCTCTAAGAAGCATGTTGCAGCTGTTGCTACTACTGTGGCAGAGGCAATAGACAGTGTAGTCCTTGGAGGCCAGATCTGCTGGCTCTGTGGATCCTGCTGCTTGAGAGGGTTGCCTCACCTTGCCTCACAGGTGAGCTGGCCCTGAATATAGGGTTGTACAAAGATGCATAAAAGCTAGCAGGTAACATGGTGGTAATGGTTCCGTATCATTTCAAACTCAGTTGAATACATGTAGTGTTGGTTTGGGGAAAGCTTGATGGGGACTAGTCCAGGTGTGCAAGCTTCATGTCAGCCATGTGAAGTGATGGAGAGGGTGCAGGTGGGTTGGAACACCTGCTTTTGTACACAGGAGGAATCAGATGCACTGAGCAGCTTGTCTGTTCCGGATATGCCGCTGGAGGTAAGCAAGCCGTAAGTTTCTTAGCTGAAAAATCTTAAGGGAAAGTAAATGGGACGCAGACTTGTAGAGAGTCAAAATCTAGATATCTGAAACAGGGTTTCAGACTGGAGACTTTCCCAGAGACTGAACTTGGACCTTGTGCATTCAAAACCTGGTGTTCCCTTACTGAGTGACGACCCTGCCTTGCCCGATTCAGTTGAGATATAGAAATTTGGGATACAGAAACCCACACATTTGTACTTAAGAAGCAGAACGTACAGATCTAAAAAGGGCACAAAGACCGTCCTCTCTCACACATATAGTTCTCGAGGGCTGCTGCAGACAACCTGTGCTCTTTCAGTAACAGGTAACCCAAGCAACTCCTACGCGCATGCTCACCTTTCTCACACGCGACCCCTGATTTTATTCACCATAGACTTTTCTTCTCTCTCTTTCCCCCTTCGTACCTCTAGGACTCTGAGCCGGCCTCTGTGATTGGCCGGGCGCCCTTTCTAAAAGGGGCGGGGAGGGGCCCAACCTCCCGCTTCGCCCTCTCGTTAACCCAATCCACGTCCAGTTCCGGATCTGGGGCCTCCGGAGCGGAAGGTGGCGCTCTCGCAAGTTCCCAACACCTGCCGGTATGGAGCCTTCTCTGCGGGCGGAGAGATAAGAAGCGACGAGTCGCGGTTTCGAATGCCGGGCTGCTGGAGACTCGGAAGGGGGGAGGGGCAGGGAGGCGAGGAGGAGGAGGCGAAGTTGGGCGGAGCGGCTGCCTGGGCGTCCTCCCCTTCCTCGGGCCCCGCCGCAGAGAGCGCGAGCGGGGCTGGGCTGGGCTATAGGCTAGCGGCGGCGGCGGCTGGAGCAGGAGCAGGGGCGAGGAAGGAAGGAAGGGCTGGTGGCCGCGCTGCGCTCTGCCCGCCATGGCGATCCGCAAGAAGAGCAGCAAGAACCCGCCCGTGCTCAGCCATGAGTTCGTCGTGCAGAACCACGCGGACATTGTCTCCTGCATGGCCATGGTCTTCCTGCTGGGGCTCATGTTCGAGGTGAGGAAGGAGGACCAGGGCGCCCAGGAGGGATGGGGGGAGGCGGAGGGGAGCTGGCTCCTTCCTACGGTCAAGCAGGCGCCTCGTTAGGGAGCGAGCTCCGCTTCTCCCCGGCCTCAGCCAGCGCGGCGTGGGGAAGAGACTGGTTTCCAACGGGGACAAGCTTCTAGTCCCTGCCGTCGCCGTCCCTCCCGCTTCCTCTTTCCCTTCTAGTGTGTGTAAAGAGAGGAGGGGAGTGGTGTGGCGATTGCGTGTATACGAAGTGTATCCACAAACCCATTCATCGCCGTCCAAATGCTGCCAGCAACATGGTCGTGGGGAGCTGGAGTTCCTCCCTGGCCGCAAACCTGTGTGGGTCTTAGAAAGGATCCTGCGTGGCGTGGGTGGTGGAGGGGGAGAGGACACGGAGTTGGGTGATTAAGGCAGCGGCTTCCTCCACCCACCCACCCCGCCCCGGGAAACATCTGGCAGGCTTTTCGGTCCTTCCTCGAGCCGTTCGCCTTGGCAGACGGAGAGTGTGGGGTGGTGGGAAGTCAGCAGGTCCTTGTGTCAAGGGGGGGCACGAGGGAGGCAGGCGGGTGCGCCTTGTTGTGTCCGCGTCAGCAGTTGCTGTTGTGGGTTTGCACGGAGGAGCAGCTGGTAGGTAGCCCGAGCGGTGCATCATCCTGCGAGCAGGAGCAGCCGCCCTTCCCCGGCAGATGTGGCTGCCTCCGTCCTCAGTCAAAGTCTGCTGGGCCTGACATCTGTCTCTCATGGCCCCCCCGCCCCCATATACACACTCGTTTCTCCTTTGGGGGAGCCGGGTGTGCTCCACACCCACTTCAGCTCCGTCTTGCCGAAATGCAGACCTGCAGCGCTGAGCATCCTAACCAGGGAGTAAGCCACACGGAGCACAGTCGTGGGGCTTACTCCAGAGTAAGCCTGCACATAGCATCCCGCTGTCGGAGAGGGGAAGTAGGTACAGCCCCCGTCGCCTTTGCTGCCTCCAGGGTTTCCGAAGCGGAGCAACCGCCGCAGTGTAAACGGGGTTTTCGGAGTGTGTGGAGAAAGAGCCTCCGCCGTGCACGCCTCTCTGACCGGGTTGTGCGCTTGCTTGCTTGCTTGCCTGGCTGCCTGCTGAGTAGTTCCTGGTCTCGTCAAGGTTACGTGGCACTCGGAGCTGGAGCACTATGGGGAGGGCGGGGAGACTCGACGTTTTTGGAGACGGGAGGTGCTGGCGGGGTGTGCGAAGCGGGGAGCGCGCAGAGAGAGATTTGGCTCCCGTTGCCTGGGCTAAGGGGAGGGGAGAGGGCGCGCAGTCCTTTGTGTGCAACGGGCAGAACTACAAGCCCCATGAGGCGCTGCGGGAAGCGGCTCCTCCTCTCCTCTCGGCTCCAGGGAAGGTGAGCTGGACGGTGACGTGTACATAGAGCGAGCCCCACCGCCCGCCTTCCGAGCGTGGCGGTCGCTTGCAGTCGTTGGTCGCAGCCAGATGGGGTTGCCTGGCGCCCCTCCAGATAGGGGATGCGACACGTGTCAAGGTGTGTGCATGCCATGGCTCTGGATTAGAACCTGGGAAGGGGAAGATGTCCTTGAAATAGTTAAAATAACTGACTTATAAAAATATTTATATACTGCTATATCATTTTAAAAAAACATATGAAAGCAATAAAACATGAAACTGAGCTTATTAGCCCCAGAGCTTAATGAGGGTATGGAAGACTTAAGCAGTTGAGTGACTTGCGCCAGAGCAGTTTTAAATGGTAGTGCTTCTTTGTAAAGTATTTGAGCGCTATAACTTTAAGGCTCTGTTGAAAACCTGCTTCAGTAGCTGCTGCCCCAAGTTCTGATGACACTTTGGAGGAAAGTAGCCTGAGGAGCAGATGCACTTTTATAAGCATGTATGCAAATGCCATTCTAAAATACAGTAGTTGTCCTTGGTTTTCCATGCAGTACATTGGTAAAAAGTAATGTGTCTAGCATTTTTCTTTCTTGAAGCTAAAGATTGCAGCAGTTTATGTTCTTTCTATACCAGCTTGCCCATAAGTGATGTCCTGAGGCAATTTTTGTTGGGAACAGCTGTTTTAAAAGTGGCATGAGCAGTTATGTGTTCTCAGTAGTGCATTTGCTTGCGTTATTTGGACAACCACAAGCTTATAAGTAGCCACTCATCTGGGCCACTGTAGCAAGCCTAGTTAGGCTTGCGTGTAGATAACAGCCAACAATAGGAATGTATTGGCAAGAAGATTGGGGTAGGGGACTGAAATATCTGTTGGTTTTATAGGTAATCTTGAGTTACTGGGTATATTTGTTGAAATAGTAAAGAATTGTGGAAATAACCAGTCTTCTGTGACCTATTGTCCTAGTTTGATGTCATTTCTTTTGTAATGGCTTCAGCTACACAAATAAATAATAATTGTAATAATAATGTTATTTTCCTTGCTTCTGAGTAGGCATGGTTAGGGTTGTGCTGTTAGTATGTTTAGAATTTCATCCTTGGTGTGTTCTTTGTAGAAATAATTTTATTTAATTGGGTTTTGTTTCATTTCAGGTTACAGCAAAAGCAGCTGTTGTCTTTGTTACACTTCAGTACAATGTTACCATCCCTGCCACAGGTAAAGCTCTAAAAAATATTTAAGCATTTGTCCTAGATAGAAAAGGAATACTGACTCACTGCTAATATATTACCATATCATCTAATAGGCTAGTCCTAAAGCATGCTACACTAGCAAACACTGTACTAGTGGAACAGCTGAAGAATGAGAAACATCAGCACAATTTTTCCATGTCAGTTCACCAGTAATGATGTTTGCTTTGTGACCTATAGGCTAGTTTGACTGTATCACCAAGCCATGGCTTGGTGCAACATGTATGAGTCTTGAAAGGCTGTAGAATTTCCCCTCCCTTCCCCACTCATCACATATCATTATTTCATCCCTTCCTTCCTGATTTGCAGCAATGTCTTTCCTCCAGCAACATGGTTTACACTTACTCCCTGCAAACAAGAATCAGAAACAATGGATCAGAAACCACAAACCCAGGGAGGGAATCATGAATGCCGGAGGAAAAGGGGCACACAAATGCAACGGTCCTGCTTCCCTTGTTACTCTAGCACCAAACCACAGTTTTGCATTGTCTTACCCTGCCTATTGTCAATATGAGCTTAGCTCTGGATGGAAACTACCGTAAGTTTTCCTTGCTGTGCTGCTCTTAAAGATAAATAAGATTTTGAATCTGGTGACTGAAATAATAAAGGCATGATTTGTTCCAACATTTTAGCATACTGCATATATTGTAATTTAGACTTTTACTTGCATTAACTAATGCTGTGTTAGTGGAGAAGTAAATAACAAACTAGCCCTTGCAGTCTTCATTAAACTTGAAATAACTCTTTAATTTCTTCAGTTCCAATTTCAGATTAGGAGCGGGTTGGTAAAATAAGTGTATATTTAATGCTGTCTTTTTTTCTCTTAGAGAAACAATCTACAGAAACAGTCACATTGTATCACTATGGCATCAAAGATTTGGCTACGGTTTTCTTCTACATGCTGGTTGCAATAATCATACATGCTATCATTCAAGAATATGTGTTAGATGTAAGTATTGTCAGGACAATATTGAGTATTGCTACAGTGGTATTTGATTGAGTGTATGGATGTGTTGTCAACGTGAGTCTTGGATTTGGCTTCGCATGACAGATAACTTCGTATGAAAGCTGTTACTCAGATCAATAACACGGATTCCTTTTCTTTTAGAAAATTAACAGGAAGATGCACTTTTCCAAAACAAAGCACAGCAAGTTCAATGAATCTGGACAACTCAGTGCGTTCTACCTTTTCTCCTGTGTTTGGGGAACAAGCATTCTTGTCTCTGTGAGTATCTCACTTGTACATACTCAAGCTGCAATTCTGTATCACTTAGTAGGAATGAGCCCCATTGATCTCAAATGTGACTAACTTCTCCACAGACCTGTAGTTAGTTTAGTCTTAACCATAAAGGGTATTTGACATGTTTATTTCTTATTTTCAGGAGAATTATGTAGCTGACCCAACATCACTCTGGCGAGACTATCCACATACATCATTGCCGTGAGTTTATCAGAGTTGCGGGGTGGGGCATGTGTCATATAGTTTCTTTAACTTGTCCCAGGGTGTTAAATCAACCAGCAACTTGCTTGCAGGTATTTCAAGTTCTTTTCTTCAAACAAAAGCCTGCTCTCCTGGTCTTCTGTTGTCAATTCCAAGTATGTTGTTCTTTCATAAACGTGTGACTGGTAGTTTCCATCCTACCATTAGTTCTTAATCTCTGTAGAAAACAGATATGACTCCATTGTAACACCTAATTTAAACAAGGTCTTATTCGAGAGCTATTTCAATATCTTTGACCTTTTCCATGCTGTATTGTAGGTTCCAAATGAAATTTTTTTACATCTCCCAACTGGCATACTGGTTGCATGCTTTTCCAGAACTCTATTTCCAGAAGACAAAAAAAGTAAGTCAACCTTTATTTTCATGTTCAGAAGCCTCTAAAAATATGTGTACAGTGGTACCTCGGGTTAAGAACTTAATTCGTTCCGGAGGTCCGTACTTAACCTGAAACTGTTCTTAACCTGAAGCACCACTTTAGCTAATGGGGCCTGCCGTGCCGCTGGAGCACAATTTCTGTTCTCATCCTGAAGCAAAGTTCTTAACCCGAGGTACTATTTCTGGGTTAGTGGAGTCTGTAACCTGAAGCATATGTAACCCGAGGTACCACTGTATATATTTTAAAGACTTAATTAGCTGGTAGGAAAGAAAAGTAAATTCTTCTAAAAGCAAACTCTTTGCTCATGGCAATGCTTTAAGCAAGGTTGTTGCCTAGTTCTGTATATCTTACTGTCAACATTTGTAGCATTCTCCCACACTGTACTTGGGTCTTCTGAGAGGTAGGGAAGATTTCTGTGAGTTACTTTTCCAAGGGACTTTGCTTTTACCTGGATATACAGGTTGATTCACAATGAAGTATACAGTTTCCATTTATAGCAAATGGAAACTGCATACTTCATTATGTATCACCCTGTATTTCTAATGATTAGGCTGGAACCCCATGCAGCAGGTGTTGAAAACCTTTGGCCATGTTTGCTAGGGCTAATGGGAGTTCAGCAGCATCTGGAGAGCCAAAGTTTCCTTACTGCTATACACATTTATCTAGGAATTAAGTGCCAGTGAACTTAGTGGAACAAGTGAATAGACATGCCTAGGAGTCTTTTGTTAGTTAGGAACACTAAACTGCACCTGGGAAACCTACCATACTTTTCCATGTATAAGACTAGGGTTTTTTGCTTTAAAATTAAGGTTAAAAATCTGGGAGCGTCTTATACACGGATAGTGCATATCCCCATTTTCTAAATTTGGGGTCCCCAAAAGTAGGGGGTGTCTTATACATGGGTGCATCTTATACACTGAAAAATACGGTTAGTTGCTGAACTGCAAACCTCTGAAGGCTGTGTCGCTGCCTTGCTAAGCTCCAAAATGGTGAGGGTGAGACCCAGCACAGAACCAAGGTTTAGCCTATACGGGCAACAGCAGCAGCAGCACACACATCCTCCAGCATAGTCATGAAGCTTTCATTTCCTTTTTTAAAGTAACCGCAGTCATTTCCCCCTCTTTGCATATTGCAGTGGCTGTCAGCTCTGGTTTATGATGATCTCGATGCAGAACAGCTGCTTGGTATAAACGTTTACAACTTTCAGCATTGTAATCAGCCTTATTAGCAGCTACCAGGGCAAATACAGTGAGATCTTTCTCATTTCCTGCTAACAAAAATTAATTTTCTGCTTGGTTGAACAGTTCATGGTTTGAATGATAATACGAGTAATTTGGTCATTATGTTCTGAAAGATGGCAGGTTAGCAAACAGTGAATATGGTCTTGTATGACCACAGTATATCAGTGTGTGGTTTTTACCATTTGTCCAAGAGTAGTGTTGCAACATCCGGTGAATAGTTGGGGCAGTACATTTATTATTCTTAGGTGGCAAAGTTTCTGGCCTGGTGCAATTTGAAACCTAGACGTGGGAAACTGAGGATTGAATATTGTAGAAATCTTAGTACCATGCAAATCTTCTACATTTATTCTTATTTTTGCACACATAGAAACATGTTTGTATGTCTTTTAAGCATTTGTGAAATAAATCAAGCAGAACAAAAATTTGAGTAAGATTTCAGGGTACTAACAAACTCCAGGATCAGCTATTAGAAACAGAATAGTATAAGACAAGAAATGGTTGTCTGGATTGGGTAATGTCCAGAAACTGGTGAATGTATTTAAGTTATGAGAACTCCCTGCAGAATTGATAAAGCTGTGGCTTTTTCATAGGAAGACATTCCTCGCCAGCTTGTTTACATTGGACTCTATCTTTTCCATATCGCTGGAGCTTATCTGTTAAAGTAAGTGACTTACTTGTTTTGCTGCCATACAGAGCCCCTTAGAGAGGATGGGGGGTGGAGTTAAATTCAATAATAAATAACCAATTTGATAGTGAAACACAGTATCAAGTGTTCAGATACTGCAATCCAATATACCTTACATTGTACCCTGTAAAATGACTGTATTTCTCCCCTGCCTTTGAAATTGAGCATGGGGGTCAAGCAGTTGCTTGAACTTCACATTCACTGGAATAATGCAGTAAGCCCATGGTTCACTTTGAATGCTCATTTTTCAAGTTGAATGTCTAATGGCAGTCTATTTTTACAAATTTCCTTGTCCCCTAGAAAAGCTTGTATTTAAATTTTGAACTGCTGGGTGACCTTGGGCTAGTCACACTTCTCTGAAGTCTCTCAGCCCCACTTACCTCACAGAGTGTTTGTTGTGGGGGAGGAAGGGAAAGGAGAATGTTAGCTGCTTTGAGACTCCTTAGGGTAGTGATAAAGCGGGATATCAAATCCGAACTCTTCTTCTGTGTGTGTGTGTGTGTGTGTGTGTGTGTGTGAATGCATTTTAATAAATATATATATATATATACATATATGTGTATGTATTTTTATTTATATCCAGAGTTGCTTCAGCAGATAACCAATTTAAAATCGCCAATAAAACATTAAAATCAATAAAACAGTCAAAGTGCAAAGACTAGGAGAATTCATAACAGTTGCCATCAAGGACACCTGCCCTGAACTGTTCTAGGACAGAGTTATGTTCTCGTTGTTTGGCAGAAGGGTGATAAAGGCAGAGCCGGGTGGGCTTCCATCGGGAAGGTGTTCTGTAACTGGCACCACAACTGAGTGAACCTGTCCTTCACACCTATGAACTGTGCCTTGAATGGCTAGGGAACCGAAAGGCATGCATCAGATTTTCATTCTGATGATCTCCATCACTGAGGGATCTATACTGCTGCAGAACATGTGTGTATATTCCTGGGCCTGTTTGAATGTGGACATAGGAAACTGTCACTGAGCCCTGAATTCCTGTGCCAAATTTAATTAATGCAAGGTCAAATGAGTGGGTTTAATCAAAGACCTTGTGTCCCTCTACCAACTCGAAACTTCTTTCCTTTCATTTTTGTTCTTACAGTTTGACCCACCTTGGCCTTGTTCTTCTTGTGCTACATTACTTTGTGGAGTTTCTGTTCCACATCTCCAGACTGTTTTACTTCAGTGACGAAAAATATCAGAAAGGGTAAGTACTTTACGGTAACTTCCAACCTTTAAAAATATGTCTGGAAATACAACTTCTAATTAATGCTTGAACGTGTACAGTTAACATTGGGCTGCTTCAGCAAATGATCCCTGTTCTTCTGTACATTAAGAGAACATCTAATAATAATAATAGAGATAGTTTTGTTCTCTGTTTAAGATAAAAATTGAAGTCTGCAAGCAAATATCTGGCTGATTACTTCAGGTACACAGACTTTGGCCTGACTTACCTGTGTATCTCTTGGTCAGGTGCACCCCTCACCTCTTTCTCCTACATTTTCTTCACTTCTGACACCATGTTCCAGGCACTTCTCACTCCCTTGATCTTGCCACCTCCTGCCCTCAAGGATCAGTGCAGCTTAGCCAAATATATTCCTTCCTTTCCCCTCTGGCATAAAGACAACTTGCTGTTCAGTTACAAAGCCTTCGTTACCTTCAGTACAACCACAGAATTCCTATGCACAAAACAGTTACCAATTACTTCTTGAGACTGGTGTGCATTCAGATGCGCATACAAACACTCCCCCGACCTGGAATAGCTTCATTAGTTTTGAAGAAAGGACTTGACCAGCCTGTTTTTAGAAGATATATATATCCACATTGAACAATTCCTTAATGTAGAAGCTATTTGAAGCTTAGATGGCTTCACACATTTTCTGAGCCCTCAGAGATGGAAGAAGTATCACAGAAGAGCCCATCACATTGTATCCTCTAGAATGCCTTCCTGGATGTGTGAGAAGGGACAGTGTTCTGGCTTAACGGTGTTCTGAAATGTATGTGTGAAGTCAAGTACTTTTGGCCCATGACACCTTAATATTCAACACGTATGTTAATCGTATCTGCCTCTGAAATAATTGCTGTAAGTAGTACAATGAATGGATGGAATTCTACTGAGGTGCAGTAATAATATGTTCACAGCTGGTCTCTTCCCTCTAGGTTTTCAATCTGGGCCGTCCTTTTTGTTTTGGGAAGACTTCTGACCCTGATTCTTTCCGTCCTTACTGTTGGATTTGGCCTTGCCAGAGCAGAGGATCAAACATTGGATTTTAGTACCGGAAACTTCAATGTGCTGCCCATCAGGTATGAGACGACAGGCACAGCTTCATAGTTAGAGGCAGTGAAACTTCATGAGTTGTTTGGGGACCACTTTCCTAAAATCATCTGGTGGGCTTCTGTTTGAAAGAAGAGGCTGCATCAGATGAACAGCTGGCAGGCTTCTTTCTTCTGTGGTGCTTTAAAGTCATACCTTCATGTGAATGAGACTTGTTTGAGTAGTCTGCTTTTGTATGAACTGGCTTTACCTAGAACTTGTACAATTCCCAGTTAATCAGCATTTGCATAAAGCAGGGGAAGGCGGGATGGGAAGCCTTCCAGAAGCTGCATTCCATTGGTGGGCAGGGCGAAAGTCAAAAAGTGGGTGGGACTAGAGCCACAAGTGGGTGGAGCCATGGCTGAGGCTCTTAATTTGTGTGTTCTACACCCCATCTTCCCCATCTCTCACCCTCTGTCAAGGCAAGCAAGAATTGTTTTCGTGGTTTAGGGACACATGCCAGCCAGGCAAAAATGAAGAGGACACAGGGCAGTGTTGTTGGTGAGGGATGGAGGGGTATCCCAAAGACAGGGTACTGAGGTCTGGAGGGTCATATTTGGCTCCTGTCAGAAAGTTATTTTTATTTTATTTCATGAACTTTATAGTATAATTATTATTATAATTAAGCTTTATTCTAAAAAAAACCCCTCCAAAGTGGTTTACAAAAAAATAAAACATTACAATCAAGAAAGATTCACAACCATACTTTTAAAACATACAAAAGTTAAAATAGTAAAACAGATGAAAATTACCTCTCTCTATGCAGGATTAGGGTACGTTAAGGGTGAATTTAGATAATTAGCTGAGATGTAAAACTATAAAAATAGTAAATAAGAACTTTCCTTGTGTACATGTTTTGCAGAATAAAATGTGATGTAAAACATGCTGTTAAAAATGTGTGGTGTGCACTGCCTGTCTTTTAAGGAAACATTTCTTTTTGTAGTTCAAGCATAAATCCTTAAATTTAAACACTTGAGCATGTTGACCACCTGATGTTGTTGGTGCCACTCCTTCACGTTGAGGGTAGATGTTTAGGGTCTATCTGTGATGACCCCAGAAAGTGTTGAAACCATTCCAGTTTCAGTATGAATTTCAGCTTCTAGTTACACAGCACCGTGACTATATTTATAGTTCCTGGAAGCGTGTTGTTTCAGTGAGCTGCAGATCATGGGCTGCTGTTTATCTAGCCACTTAGTATATGTCACTGATAACTAAGTGTGAAATATCTTCATCTAGATCAAAGTACAAAAAGTGTCGCCCTCCTGGTTAGAGAATTGGATGTTATCATCTTTGTCATAATACATAAATTTTATTTGTATGTTGCCTTTCCACAGTTCAAACCATGCTCCGGGCAGCTCACAACAAAGCCCCACCGACAAAACCCGAGACCAAGAGTCTGTTCAGCAGCCTCAGCTTTTGTAGCTGGAATCAGTCAGGGCCTTGCCTTCCCAGGTCAAGTGGGAAAAGGCCTGCAAGGCAGGGAGCAGGTCTTCCAGGACTCACAGCCAAGTGTAGTTTCGTTATTGCATGGGACAAGAGAATTTGCCAAATTTCCGAACATGCTTTTCAGTCTATGCATTCCTATTGTGTTATTACCTTGTTAAATTCCTGAAGCTCTGCTATGCTTCCATTAAACCTAATCTCTCTGGGCTTTTTATGTACTTTCCTAGATAACAAGGAAATAAAAGGCTTGATAAATGGCCAAGAAACATCCTGCCCAGTGGGAACAGTTTTCCTGATGCTTCTCATTTCTGGATCTTCAGGAATCCTAGTACAGTGGTACCTCGGGTTAAGAACTTAATTCGTTCTGGGGGTCTGTTCTTAACCTGAAACTGTTCTTAACCTGAAGCACCACTTTATCTAATGGGGCCTCCCGCTGCCGCTGCGCCGCCACCGCACAATTTCTGTTCTCATCCTGAAGCAAAGTTCTTAACCTGAGGTACTATTTCTGGGTTAGCAGAGTCTGTAACCTGAAGCATCTGTAACCCGAGGTACCACTGTAATCTGTCTTCTCTTTGTAGAATCAGCGTACTGGCATCTATCTGTTTCACACAGGCCTTTATGATGTGGAAGTTCATCAATTTCCAGCTGAGAAGGTGGAGAGAACATTCTTCACCTCCCCAACCAGTGAAAAAGAAGTTTGCAACAACTAAAAGCAAGCCTTCCAAAAAAGAAAGAGGTTTGTATTTCAGTCCTTTACCCTGTACAGTTTTGGTGGAGGGGGAAATGAAACAAGTTCCACAAGGCATTGAGGAACCTCGTTGCCAGTGACGCTTAAGCCAATACTACGTTCCCTGAATTCAAGGGCAGTGGTACTAATTTCTTACATAACCAAATATTGGCGAGACAGATTGGGAGATAAAATTAGCTTCCCACAAAGAATCCTGGGGACTGTCATTTGTTAATATTCTCCTAACAACTCTCAGCACCCTTTGCAAAACTATGGCTCCCCTGGTTCCTTGGGGGAAACCATGACTGTGAAAAGTGGGTGAAAGAATGCTTTAAATGTATGGTGTGGGTGTGTCACACATAGCATCTTTCATAGTATTCTGTCTCTGGAAGGAGCTCTTGTCTCTTTTCATTTATCTTCTTGCCCTGGGTTAGTGATCACGATTGCAGAGTGTAGACAATCCATAGGCTTGAGTGGTGATCTTAATTTACTGCATCTTGTATCGGCGCATAAAGGACAAAAACAGCAGAGGTCTCTGCAAATAAAGCAAGAAGTTTCTAATGTCGGAATTCTGGCTAAGTTATTTATTTATTGGATTCCTGCCCTTCGTTGTAAGATCTCAGGGTGGATCACAGAATGGTAGCACTGAATTGCTCAAGCCCCAATTCATTTTTTTAATTATTTTTAGATTATTGGGCTGCATGCAGTCATGAAAGTGCTGAAAATTAGACATACGGAGTCATTACCTAGTTTCACTCGTTGACTCTTGAAATTTATTATATATATTTTTTGTTACTGGTGCATTTTACTGTTTGTGGTTTTTAATTGCATTGTAAGCTGACCTGGGATGAAAAGCTAAGAAGGGCACGAAAAGGGTAAACAACTGCCCCCCTAGGCATCCATTGCCTGCTGGATCTTCTGTAAATGACATAAATTACAGGGCTTTACCTATTTGGAAATCTAGATTTTTTATCATGTTTATATTTCCCCTTTTCTACAAGGAGCTCGAGGTAGCGTGCAGGGATCCAATTCCTTTCCTCTTCACAATTGCAAAGTAGGATATGGTTAGAGTTGCTGACAGGCCCAAGATCACCCAGCAAGCTTCATGACTGACTGAGGATTTGAGTCTCTTAAGTCAGTGCTTCCCAAACTTGGGTCTCCAGTTGTTTTGGACTACACCTCCCATCATCCCTAGCTAGCAGGACCAGTGGTCAGGGGTGGTGGGAATTGTAGTCCAAAAACAACTGGACACTCAAGCTTGGGAAACACTTCTCCAAGTCTACCCACTTCTAGGCCAATGCTCTAATTCTTGGCGGCGGCCCTCAATGGTGTTTTTCAGATAGTGTGGCCTTTCTGCCAAGCATAGAATACTATTGTAGCTATTTGTCCTAAGCCACTCTGGGCACTATTAACATATATCTATATCGGGTGTGAGGAAACTTTGGCCTATCAGATGTTGCTGGACTGTCAAGTCCCATTAGCCCCAACAAGCAATACCAATGACTAGGGATGATGGGATGTGTAGTCCAAAAATATATGGTGAGTCAAAGGTTCCCCACAGCTAACTTGTATGGTGAATGTTATTTTTGAAAATCTGGTTGTAATATAAAGTTGTCTTGACATAATTTTACCATTTCTTCTAAAGCTGCTGTGGGATATGGGATGCTAAACAAAATTGACGTTTGGTCTGATTCAGCAGGGCTAGTCTTGTATTGTTTTAAGTTTGTCTTTCTATTAAATGAAAAATATACTTTTTTAATGCTTTCTAGATATGGTACCTAGGACAGAGCTTAACAGTGTATATTGTCTTATTTTTAGAAAATGGAATAAATGGAACATTAACCTCAAATGGAGCAGACTCGCCTCGCAGCAGGAAAGAAAAATCCTCTTAAAACAGAACTTTATTAAGTTAATTGACTAATATCCCCAAAGAGAACTGCTTTTTACTTTGGAAAGTCCTTGAGCACCCAAGTTCCTACGATTAACAAAAAAAATAAAATTAATACTTTTTTGTTATTGCTACCATAACGTTTGTGCAGCTTTTTAAACTGAAAAAGGGGGCCACATTATTTTTTTAGTATCTTTGAAAATGTTGTGAGTGTTAATTGGAATCCACTTGCCAAAAATCAGTGATACAATCTGCCATTCCTTCCAGCTTTACAGTGATGAATCTAGTCCATTCCAAAAAAAGACAATATGAAATTCTTGTTTAAGGAGAAATCGAACATTTAAGTAAAATAGTAATGCCATATTTTTTTTTAGATATTCTCTTAACACTTAGGTGTATATTTTGATTTCACAGTTCCGAACAGAATTTGTAAACTACCAAAATAATCCTTGTTACTTTGTAGACAATCTCTACCATGATTCAAGAAATTCCCTTATTAAAACACAGTTGGACTGATTGAAATGTTGCTGTGTATGTATATTGTCAAGTATACTGTGAGTTTTGTTGCCATCAGAACTTCCATCAGCATGTCTGGATAGCCAGTGACAAAACACTGTGAGTACATACTGATTGCTGCTTGGCATCCTCCTGGTTTACATTCACAAATTCCTGAATTTGAAGGCTCCCTGTGAAGATACCACAGCTGCTTTGCTCCTCTTTTCTGGTGGTTTTTCTGCTGTGCCATGGTGAGCTAAGTCATAGTTTGGTTTCTTGTCTCATCCAAATCCAGACTCATGGTTTATCTCTTTCCTGTCTAACCACAAGTTTGTTTTATGGCTTGTGGTTTGTCAGGGAGAAGCTAAACCACAAGACTGGGTTTGGACAATGCACAGCAGCGACAACACCCTTTTCCTGGTGCCTACACGCCAACCAGGGCATCGGATCTTGTTCTGCCAAGCCTTATTCAAGTGTGCACCTGAAAGCATGCTGAGACAGGAGCGAGCATCACACACTACTAGCCCCAGTCACACCGGTCTCCCATCTCCACCAGCTGCAGCCTCAGATCTTTGGGTGGAATGTCTGAAGGCAGGAAATGCCTAAACTGTTAAAGGTCCAGGTAAATATATGCATTGTTGGTATATGTCAGAAGCTGACTAACAATGGAGCTAGATGCACCTCTGTAGGGAGGGAATTCCACAATTTCGGGCTGACATGGAGACAACCCTTTCCCAGGCTGCCATTCCACCCCACACCAATTCTTAGTGATGGAACTAAAAGAATGCCCAAGAGGATCTATAAGAATGAGGACAATATATTGTGACAGGGTCTAAGTTGTTTAAAGCCCTAAGCATCAGTGTAAGTAAGCACCTTGAATTGGGCTTGGAATCAAATTGGCAGCCAGTGGAGCTGTTTTAAAACAAGGATTATATTCATTAAGTGGAGCCTGGTCACTGCATTTTGGACCGGTTATAAGATGAAGTATGAAATAGGGCAGGTGGTAGCTAGCATGGTGCTCAAAGAGCCAGTATTGACTCTTCAGAAAGGCGCATTGTAGCGGCTATTTCAGAGTTTTCCTTAATTCAGTGACCTGATGTAACTTTGAAGGCACAGTGGTCAAACCAGAGGAACAGCTGCCACCCTGGAAGATCACTGTTTGAGCAGAGATGTTTGAGTACGTAGTAAGAAGGAGAACAACAGCAGCATCCTGGTTACAATTGGAGAAGGATAGGCTAGACATAGGGTCCTGGGAGTGACCCTACCATTGGAAGTTGGCTAGGAGTGCATCATTAGAGTAGCTTCCAGTGTTGCTCTTTGGTTATGGAACAAGTCCTGTCCTCTCACCACAGCTGTCATCCGTTTTACTTAGAAGAACATTTGGGTCTTTAAAGCTGTGTTGATAAGGGTCAAGTCATCTAGCAAGCCACATGCAATTGAAACAGTATCCAAGAAATCTCCCTCTACGGAGTGTACTGGGCTTTACAGGAAAAACCATCAGCAGTCAAAATGCTAAATATTCCAAACAGTGCTGTTGACTTTTGCACTCTGGTTTTATTGCTTTGTCCCTTGCTACAGATCGTTGGTTTGCTTATTTAAAACTATTTCTAAGCTATTTAATATTTTTAAATTCTCATAAATGGTGTCCACTATGTACAATGTAAACAAACTATCCATTAAAAGAAAAATACAACCTTAAAACAATATAAAAGCAAGTGAAACAAGTTAAGGAGATTCGTGTACATAAATCGGGGTCCAGTCATATGGGTCAGGGAAAGCCTGACCAAAAAGAAGTCTTCGCAAGACAACTGAAACAACTGATGGTTTGTGCTTCCAGAATGGCAGAGAGGACATTCCACAGAACAGGGGCAAGAGCATAGGTCATCGCCCTATGATATTATGTAGAATGCAGTGCCATGAATAGATTTTCTCCAGATGATCCAACTGGTCTTACAAGTCAATACAGGGGCAGAGGGTCTTTCTGATAACCTGGATCCTAGTTGTTTAGGGTTTTATATATTAAAGACAAGATCTTGAACATGATCTGGTACTAGTGCAAATCATGCACATCAGTTCTCCTTCCCATAGAATGACTGGCTCCTTTTTCTGGAATGTCCACCTTCCCAAGCATCTTATGCACGCAAGATGTGAGTCCCATGCATTTTGCTCCTCATCTTGCCCATCCAAGACCCATCCCACATATGTACCAGGTCTGTTTCCCTTGCGGCCAGGGTGCTCCTAAGATAGCACTTCATTACAATTGGAATTAGTAGTCTTTGCTGAATGTTTCCTTACCTGGAGTAATTGGATTGCTTTCCTAATTTTTGTTGCCTGGAAGCTTAAATCTTAATTGCTTTAAGATTTCCTTTTCTGCCTAAAGTGGAGCATTGTAAATATTCAAATATTCTCACCTGGGAAAATGTTTCTCTGGCAACCTCCCTCAATAAAGATGGGAGTGAGGTAACATGACCAGATTTGGGTGCTTTAAAATTTAAGTTCTCCCTATCAGTAACACTTGAGAGGTCTGATATTATCTGTATGTGGTAATGTTTCCTCATATCCAGTAGCAAGGATTTCTAATAATATGAACGAAAATCTGTGACCACTTATCCCTCAATAGAAAATTAAAGTAATTATGAGGCACTTTGTAAACAAAACTGGAATTGTATTTAAACACAATGCGGGCTATGGCTTAATGGCTACTCGGATGAGGCACAACACTTTGTTTCAGTCAAAACTCTCTACGATTAAAACGCTCACTGTGTAAAACTCCCAGCCTCTTCAAGGATCTTCCCCTCAGAGAGAGAAACTGGGTTTCCCTGCCTAGGTAACCACTAACCAAGACCTTTCCCAGCTGTAATCTGAGGCCTATCTGACAGTTAAGCCTTTTATCCAGGCTGTAGCTAAGCCTATTTAAGTTTAAGTCAGAATCTAACTACCCACTCTCTCCTGGTTGGATAACACTCTACCTAGCCCTGATTGGTTTCTGGATCCCCAGGAAGCTGACCCATCGTCCATCCATCACAAGTTCCAAAAAAAGGCGTAATATCACAAAATGAAGATCATAGCAAATGAAGCTTCTGGAAGAGATTTTCAAGATGGATTGGGAATAAGTTATTGCTATTGCAAGATGGATTGGGTGTGCTATTGCTGCTTTGGAAATATAAATATATAATAAACACTTAAAGAGCATGCCTTCTTTCAGTTTCTGCCTTAATGTATTTGGCAGAACCTGGCAAGTTTCCATCTTTACGGCAAGAAAATGTGTCAAAGGAGAAGCGAGTTTTAAATCAGTTTTGTGTTATAAATCGGCTCTGATAATGTGTTGCACAACTGGATGGCAGGTGCTTGTTTGCCAAGGGAGTGGAACTGGTATTAACATCAACAACTGTCACTTCCATTTCTCTGAATGATGGGTGAAGAGCTGCAGACTCCAGCAGTGTCCTTGAATGGCTCATGTCTTCAGGGAAACTCTTTTTGTAGCAAGAAATGCAGAGAGAGCCTGATCTGATTGCAGGCTTCAGAAAGTGCCAAAACAGAGTTTTGATCCTTCCCTTGGGCAAATTCACCCCTTTATCCCTTTGTGTTGTGATTGCCTTGGCACAGCCTTGGCTACAAATGAGCAGTGGCATATGTTGGGAGTGTGATGTGGGGAAAGGACATCTTTTGGAATGTACATTTGAGCGTTCAATAAGGGCTTCAACACTTGGTGACATGTTATATCCGCCAGTTGACAAGGAGTCACATGTAAGCAAGCTCTCACTCTTGAGAATGCTGAAACTTCCCCTGGAGATGACTGGGATATCCTGTGGGCAATTACACAATAGCTAAGAGCCATTAGCCACCTTTCTCTGTCCTACAGCCCCTCTCTGCTTAGCCCGTAATTTTTCTTGGAAGGGGAAGGAACAGAGAAATATAGCATCTCAGCAGAAATTGAGAGGGGAGGGAAGGAGGATCTGTGATCTTGTCCGAATGTCTCAGAATGTCTGCAGAACTTACTGTATTTTTCGCTCTATAAGACACACCAGACCATAAGACGACCTAGTTTTTGGAGGAGGAAAACAAGAACAAAAAATATTCTGAATCCCAGAAGCCAGAACAGCAAGAGGCTATCCCAGAAGCCCCCAAGAGCCGCACACACGCTTCATGGGACTCTTTAAAGGGAGCGCTGAGCACAGCCTCCCGCCTGCATCCGCTCCATAAGACGAACACACATTTCCCCTTACTTTTTAGGAGGGGGAAAGTGTGTCTTATAGAGCAAAAAATATGGTACTTCTGGCTACTTTTTATGTGGAAATGTACTATACAGCTCATTTCTTACACACTCAAAGCAGAAATAGCTATGCTATAGCTGATGTGAAACAAATCAATAGCCTTGGTTTTTTTTTCCAAATTACATATTAGATTTACTACAGTTATTTACATTCCACATTTCAGGTTACAAATCCTACCAAGGCAGCTTAAAAGTAAAAATCAGTTACATATTTTTAAATGCACAGTAAACAATATCAGCATCAGGGCTGTCGTGAACTGGCAGGTCAGGAAGGAGGAAGAGGATCCCACTGGGAGGTGTAGCTGGGGCTGGGACACACTGGGGCATGCGGGGGATGGTGAAGGAAGTACTCACAGGGTGACCAAGGATGGTGAGGAGATGGAGGTCAATACATGGGACCCAGAGCAGCTGAACTCATCACCAGAGCTAGAGAGGGCCCTGTCCCCACAAACATGGCAGGCTCTGAGTTGTAGGGGGCAGTGGGAGGGGTGCTTTAAGAGGCTGAGGCAGGCAATAGCCCACAGCCCAGCTGGCCAGGTGGGGCTTGCTAGCTCTGGGAGGAGGTGTGTGATTCCTTGGTAGACTTAGAACAGGTGAGGGTCATCTGCCTCATCAAGCCCAGATGTTGCAATCAACATGCAAAGTACAAAAGGGAAGCAGAGCTGAGGTGCTGTGTCTGCTCAACTGCCCATGTTGATGGTGTTAGGAAAACACTGGGGTCTAATTTGAATAGTAGAATGTCTGGCATCTGGTG